GTGTGGGAAGCAGGCAGTGGAAAGGAGGGGCCGGATGGAGGACACTTTGAACGACCTGACCTTGGCCCCTTTTCTGTGGATGTCCCATCCCTCCTCTCCTTCCCTCCCTCTTCCTTCTTTCCTTCCCTTTTCTCTTTTCCCTTCCCTCTGTCCCTCTCTCCCTTTCCTTCCTTCTTCTATTAAACAAATGTTGTGTGTGTCTTATAGTGATCAGTCGTACTCATTTTGGTTTCCTTCAGAACCTTGCATAATGGCCCATGCTTAGCAGGTACTCCATAAATATTTGTTGGATTACAATTGATGAACGATTCAAAGTGGGGCAGGGCCAAAAATAACCAAGAGTTCAAGCCTGGGTGATGGGAAGGAGGAGGATACCGGGAGAAGCTGGTCAGGATCGAAGTCAGGTTGGATTTGAACTACTGGCAGGTTATCCAGTGGCCTGAAATCCTGGGCTGTAGCTAGAAGAGGGAGATGTTTTAAGGAGCATCCCACCTTCACCCCCACTCTAGCTGGGGAAATAGTGGCTGTGTTTAAGAGCACAAATTTTGGTCTGGAGTCACATTTTGGTTGACTCAGTACCAAGTTAGCGGTCTCCCTGAGCCTCAGTGTTTTCCAACCCATGAATGGGGGATAAAGTAGTACTTTATAAGGTGGCTGTTAAGGATAAAGGTGAGGTTAATACTAGTGCAGCACTGGGGGTGATAGCTGCAGTTATTATATGTATTATATATAGTATAATGTTAGTATATTACTTATTATTACTATTATTAAGATTTGGAGGAGCAAAAATCATGTCATTCCCAAGTAAAGCCACCCATGGTGTCCTGTTGCATCAAATGGAAGGCAGCTTCTTTCCAGTGCTCCGCTGGCCTACATGACCAGGCCCCTGCCAACCTGTCGTCCAGCACCCTATTCTTCTGCACTCTGTTGTACTGCTGCCCTCTGGACACGGCAAGCTTCCCTGCTGCCTTAGGGCCTTTGCATTTGCTCTTTCCTTTGCTTGGAATATTCTTTGCCAGACCTCATGTGGCTGACTTTTCTTGAGGGGTGTGTGTGTGTCTATAATATCCTGTGTAATCATTATTCACATAAAGATATGGGATCTTTTGGCTTCCTGACATTTAGGTCTCAGCTCAAACATCACCTCCTCAAAGCAACTTTCCCTGACCACGTCCCCTTCCTGGGCCCTCTGGCACATCACCCTGCTTTATTCTCTCCAGAGCAGTTCTCACAATCTCAAGTACCTCAAGCACTGTTTATTTCCTTTTTTTAGGAGAGCAAGGCAGAGGCTTTTATTTAGAGAGAAAGTGAGAGGACAGAGCTCCTGGCTCAGGCCAGGAGGGGACAAGAGAGTCTGGGGGGTCGTGTGTTGTCTAGGGATTTTATAGGCTGCTGAGAGACAAAGGGCTAGGGATGTACACCTGCTAAGTGGTCCCATGTTTATCTTTGAAGAGACATTAAATTTCTTATTAATCTTCCTGGTTATGTACAAGAAGTTTACTGCTCTGATTTCCTCCCAGGATAGCAGTCTTCCTGGTCTGGGAGCATATCACTCAAGACTTCCTGCTCTGCTCCCAAGGTGGGCTGAGTTAACTGTTTGTTAAGAAACTTACTTTTTAACTAATTGGGTTTTAAGATGTTCAAGATGGAATTGTTTCTGTTTTTACTATGTTGTTTTGGGCTTGCTTGCTATATTGCTCAGGTTGCAAATCATTTGTTTAGGGCTGGAGGAAGAAAAGCAGCACCTGGGTAAAGTCAGAAAAGCTGGGCCCCAGCAGGCCAAGGCAAATCCCACAATAAAAATTATCTTGCTTTGTTTTTTCCCCGAGGCCCTCACCCTACTCTGTCTAAGCTCATGGTCTCTGCCTCATTCCCCCCTCTACAGATGGAGACCCTAGCTGCTGCTGGCACAGTTTATGTCTACGTCTGTTTGCCTCATCCTTCTCCACCCTCCCAGTGAAAGCGTGCACAGCTGGTTCATCATAGTTCCTTCTCTATCCTCAGCACCCTGAACAGCACCTGGCCCACACGGGGCACTCCATAAACACTGGTTGTGTGAATGGCTCATACTGAAGATGCAAAAGGAAGGGTGATGGTTGATAAGGACAAGTCCAATGAGGGTGGAAGAAGAAGGGCCCCAAGCGCAGTGGAAGAGCTGGCCTAGGCAAGGAGAAGGACCACTCATTCCCAACACAAGCAGGAGTGAGAAGGGGTGAGGTGAAGCTGGAGACATTTTGATATGCAGGGCAGGGCTTTGGGAGGGCTGCTTCAGCTGAATGCTTTGACATTTTTACAAAGTAAAGGGCACGGTCACCTGCTGAGAGTTAAAGGGCAGCAGGAGAAGGGTCTATCCTTGAGGCCAGTGGAGGCTTTTCAAATATGTATACCAGCTGCCATTTATTTAGCACTTATGCCCCAGGCACTGTTCCAGGCCCTTTAAACATATTGGCTGATTTAATTTCATAATCCCACGAGGAAAGGGACTATTATTAATTCCATGTAAAGATGTGGTAACTGAGGCCCAGAGAGGTCAATTAACTTTTGCCCAAGGACATCTAGGAAGTGGCAGAGATGGGATTTGAACTCAGGCAGTCTGGCTGTTGCAGCATATGTGAAGAACCATTAAAATTTCCTGTCTCCCTGGGTCTCCAAGGCACAGGGCTATGAAGGATCAGCAAACGATGAAGAGGATGGTAGAATGAATGGTATATGGCAGGCCTGAGGTGGCCAGCCAGCCAGCATGCTGTGGCAGGAAGCCCAGGAATGGGAGTAAAGAGAGTGAAAGGGACGGGGGGTGGGGGTGACTTAGGGTTAGGCATTGCAAACACGTAGGCCAAGGCAATCTGAAGTGTGCAGGAGAGGGGGCTTCTGGACAGAGAAAACAGCATGTGCAAGGGCCCTGAGGTGGGAAAGAACTTAGCTTACTGGGAACAGTGGAAGGACAGTGTCAGGGTATAGTGGCAAGGGGCAGCAGAGGGTTGCTGGCAGGCATTTAAACAATCTAATGTGAGGCCTAGGCTTTGGTATTTTTTAAGTACCCCAGGTTATACAGCCCTGGTTAAGAACTATTTAGACCAGTTTCCAGGTGACACTGGCTTGGGGACCACGCTTGGAGAAACACGCCCTAGATGAGTCTAGTGAGTAGCTACAGCTGAGAACCACTCATCTCAGTCAAAGATGGGGAAAGTGAACAGCACAGAACCATGGCTTCCAAGTGTGATCCAGGAACACGCAAGCTCCTCTTCTCCTCCCAGGGAGCTGGGGGATGGGAATAGCTTCCACAGCACAGAGGCGAGGGAGAAGGTAGCACTGTCTGGGTACAGATCAATTCAGATGAGATGCAGTAAAGGCAGAACTAGAGGGGGGTTTATCCATGAGGCAGACAGAAAGAACAGATAGGGATCAGGACTCCAGGCAGGGCACAGTGTGCAGTTAGAGCAACAGGAGGCCGATGGGGATGACGGGCAGAGTGGCAGGTGAGGCTCCTGAGGCTCACAGCAGCCTGGTGTCACGTGCTATTTGATGGCAGCTCAGTGCTTATCCATTAATTTACACCCCCACCCTGCAAAAAAAGATCTGCAGCAAAATTCTGAAATCCAGAAGTATGGAAGGTGGCACAATGGTATGTCTGTGGTGGGGAGAGGAGGGCACTGGAGTTGATTTTACCTGGCTGACAAGGCTGTAAACATCAAAAGAGAGCCATAAAGCCCTTGGCAGCGCAGTGGCCAGTGTAACAGCAGAGAGCTGGCTAGCATCTATACAGCACCTGCTCTGGGCCAGGTACTGTGCTTGCCACTTTGTTTCTTTCAGAACAATGGGATCGGATTAGAGCCTCACAAAAGTTTGCACCCCAACACTTCGTGAACCCACCATGGCAGTGTGGCTTTAGATTATTAGGCCAACTCTTCAACTTGCCCTGTAGTCTGAAAGGCCCTAATGGTTTTGTAACAACAGCCGGGGCTGGTTTCTAACCTCTGGGAAGGTGGTCACTGAGAGTTCTGCCACATTGCCTGCTGCTGTATAAAAACTGCTGGTGTCAGTCTCTATCCACTGGGGGGTGGGGGATCACTCTCAAAAGAAAACACTTTCTTCTGCCAAGGATTGGGTGGGGCTAAAAAAAACTGTTCATGACAACACTGAATCAGCATTCATCAGGGTCAAGCTCACGGTCAGAGGGAACTGGAAGAGGTCCCTGGTTGAGAAGACATCTCCAGCTGAGGCCTCTTCAATCTCAAAGGGAATGGAATCAGAATGCACAAATTCATAATGGGCATGGCAAGGGGAGAAAGGCACCATGCTCAAATTAGGGGTTTTCCTTAAAGTATTAGAGTTCAGGTTAGAACCCCCAAAAAGTAATAAATTTATAGACTCCATTCCCCTAAGAGGTAATAAAAGTTCAAAACTGGTTTTCAAAATTTGAAAACTGAATGATGTGAAAACAGGGCTCTTTGAGGACATGCCTAAACTACTGAGGCTGTCGCGGCAAGGACCACTGGACTCTCCCAAAACATGTATGCTGGGCTTTGTCAGATTTCTGGGGCTGGAACGGTCATGGATCTGACCCAGTGTGACATTTACATGCATTAAGAATCAACATCTTTCTTCCCAACAGTGTTATTTTGTTATCTGAATATCCAGGGTTAAAATAAGGATCCTTGGCTGGTCCCTGAAGCACTGCAACTTCTTTATTAGCCTCTCAAAAGACGTGGCTGCTTCTCCTCTCCCAGGGCAAAGACACAGAGAATTTGTATGGTATTTTTCTGTAAATCAGGAAATGACAGTATAGGCGTAGCTGTGTGGACTGCAGCAGTCAAGTGGAACCCAGTGACATAAGCCTCCCTCCTCAGTTCTTCCTCATTAAGGTCAGTATTAGAGTTCAGGTTAGAACCCCTAAAAGGTACTAAATTTATAGACTCCATCCCCCTAAGAGGTAATAAAAGTTCAAAACTGGTTTTCGAAAGTTGAAAATTGAATGATGTGAAAACTTCAATTTTTCACACAACATATATTTATTCCGAAAAAATCTGCAATAAATTATAATAAAAAAGATGACATGAAATACAGAATCTCACTAGCAGCTTTGCTTAGTGACCAAGACATTTTTGGGAAGTACAACAATTACAGAGTAAGAATCAGAAAACAGTGAAAAGGAGACTAATGCAATGTCACCACATGGGTTTCAACCATTTCTTCCCTAAAACAACAGATGCAGCGTCCTTCTGTACCAGTTGGATCTGAATCCCTTACTTCAGAGAAGCCATGAAATAGAATATTAGAGGTACTTGAGAATTAGAGGTTGGGGTGCTGGAGTAGGCACAGTGGGGAAGCAGATTTCTTAGGTCTGCTCCATTTCTTGTCTCCCCTATCTAGAGATTGTCTAAAACCCTGAACCTTGTGTACATCCAAGGACCAAAGCTGGAAAAACAGTTTTGGTAGTAAACCAACTTAGTGCATTTCTTAGCCTCATGAAGAAAGAGCTAGGGTGCTACACACAGCCCCCACTAAGCCCTTGGACTTGCAAAGGTCCTGGGTTGGCAATATACTAGCAAATGTGCACAGGAAAGGCATTTCCCCATCTTTGTGTTATGACCTTGCCCCAGCTTCTGTAAGCTGCCTCTCCTGTGATCACTTTCTGGCCTAGTGGAGGTGATAAAGGTGTTCTACTTGCAGTCTTCCATTAGCCAAGTTTAACACCAAGCTCCTGACCTATCAGATCTGCAGCTATTTGGCACCCATAACTTGACTCCTAGTTCTAAAACTCCCTACAGGAAAGGGCTTAACCAGTATACTGCGGGATACAGACCTTTTCTTTCCCCCAAGAGCTCAACTTCTAAGAGATGGGGGAACTGGAGAACCACTCAGCAGTGGTGCTTCCCCTGGCTCTCTCCTTCGATGTGCTAGAAGAGTCAGGAGCCAAAGCTCAAGACTGGACACAGAGCTTGCATGTCAGGCTCCTTGGATTTGATGCTAACAGGCAAGAATGAGTGGACTCAGGGTGGTCTTAATGAAAGAAAACTAGGAGGAAACCAACTGTACCAGGGAGTCAGTGGCTGGTGGCTGGTTTTACCAACCAACAGAGACTAATGTCAAAAAAAAAAAAGAAGACTGCCTCATGGAGCTTGAGTAAATGAAAAGCTCAGAGGGTTGTCTAGGGTGGGAGAGAAAGGTGCCTTGGTTGGTCCCACTGTACAGTCTCTTTTACATGGCACTGAATAAGGTGACTGGGAGCCATGGGGGGCTGGTGGTAGAGACCAGAGTCAGCCCTGATGAGGGAGCGGGCAACATCTGTCCCCTGGAACTTGAGGAGGCCAGAGAGAGGGCTCAAACGGTTATCCTCCATACCCTTGCTGGGCGAAGGAGCAGCATCGCTAGCACCACTTGAGGTGCACATGTAGCTCCAGAGGTGGATTTCTAACTGGGGGATGGGTCCTTTAGACACTGAGGATGTTTTCATGTCAAATTTGAGTAAGAACAGAAAGGGATGGTAAAAAGGACCTGTCAGACATGAATATTCTCACTCTTGAAATACTCAGTGTTTCTACTCTGATTGTGATCTTTCACATCAATGGGATGCCATCTCTAATAGACCCTAAAGTTGTGCTACTAAATATGGTCTGAGACAAGAGAATATAGTTCCACCCAGAGAAGATCCACGAAAAGGCCAATGTTACAGAGACACACAGGAGCCACTGTAGTAGGAATGCATAAATGCATGTAGCAACCATATGTAGAGGGTTATCTCACTGCTGGGGGACACCCGAGGAGTCACCGGCCTGCTGAGACTTCCTTGGATGTAATAATACTAGCAGAGTGGAGTGCAAAGCAGTGATAAGGGGTGGGGTGGGGCAAAGTGCTTTAGACGAAGGACTATAGAGAAGTCTGGACTACAGCAAGTAGTGCTTGTAGGCCTAGAATGGGAACATTTCAGAATCTAGGCCTAGGTTGCTAAGGACAATCATGACAACTTGACAGGAGGGCAACAAACACATCCCCAGGCAAAGGAGTATAAATACTGATCTCTTTACCTTATAGAGAGAGAACACAGAAACACCAAAATATGGTAACTTTGGCTTGGCAATATAAGTCTAAAAGAATTTTGCTGTGTAGGATATGGTAAGAGGGATTAGGAAACTCTCTTCCTTTTGCTCTAGCAACAGAACTTTCTTATGCCAGCAGCCTCAAAGTTCTGCAATAGACCCTTCCTGTGGCATGACTTTTCAAATCAGTCTGAAATACCTGGTGCCAACACCTTCCACCTCTAGAATCTCAGAGAGTAGTAAACGGAAAAGGCTTAGTAGTCTTTGTCACTCTCAAGGAAAACCAGAAGGAACTGGATAGCATGCTGGCGGTCACTTGGAGACTGTCTTGCCATAATGTTGGGTGGAGGCCTTAGGAGAAGACTAGTGAAGAGAGTAGCTAGAGGGTGAGAAAAAGAAAAGGGGAAAAGAAAACCTTTCGTCAGACTCAACCTAAGCAACACCTCAGGGAAGGGGGCTGGTGGCCCAGGGGATGAGGGTAGTGGGAAGGAAGTGGCTGCCATGTGCCCAGACATTAAGTTAGGAATACACTGTGTACACCGTCTACAGACTGTCCTGACAAACACCCCCGTGCAGCTCTTCCTAAGAAGTACTCTTACCAATCACGTTGTTGCTGACGTTGTTGTGTTTAGAAAATTTTAGAAGTTCTCGAAGGAATGCCATCAAATAATGGAAAACATTTCTATGGCATCTTGGAAGCTGGGCAATTATCTGTTTTAAAAAACGGGGGAGGGGGTGGGCAGTGAGAACAGGTGGAAGGAGGAAGTAAGAAGAGCTTACAGCTGCTATAAAAGTAATTTATAACTTCCAAGTCAGAATGGTTGTACTGTTTGGCCCCTGTCCCCTCAATGAGCAGGCCTTTGGTTGTCACATGGTCACACACACACCCTGCCTCATAAACAGGTCAGTGTTCATCTGGTCTTTTTCCATCTCTCCAGACAGGTAGCCATGGCATCTGCCAGGCTGAATGGTTTTCTGTGCAATGTCACTTAGCATGATGGGAGTCCCTCCTGATGCTAGTCTGACTCAGAGGTATTCTCAGCTATTGTGCATCAAAATCATTTTGTGATTAAAAACAAACAAGAAGACACAAAGAAGAAAGGATAATAAAAAAATAAATAAATAAGAAATAAAAAAAAAAAGAAAGGCTCACAAGTGTTACCACCCTCCCTTCCTGGTAACATCAGCCAGAATCCCACATCCAATCAGCTTCACCAATCTTACCCTAGAGTAGACATTTCTGCTCTACCTGTAAGGGTCTCAACTCTCAGTGCTGGTGTCCTGCCATAAACAACAGATTCAGACTCATCCTACCACATAGCTCGCTGCCCATATGGCTTTGTAAAATCCATTTCTCTATGGAGAAACCTACCCCAAGCACATCCTCAGAGCAACAAAACTCACCTGTCGGCAGTTCTGAGGCTCCTGAGCAGAGTCAAGGCATCGCTGATATAGCTCGTAACAGATCACAGGCTCTGGCAGGGCTTCCAGGAAAATGAGCAGTGCTTCAGCCACAGAGTGATTACTGCCAGCTGGATGGACTTAAGTCAAGGGAAACGGGCTTCAGGGAAGAGGCCGCAGAGAGACTTGAGTTGCTCCCTTTCTCAAGCTCCCTCAGGGACTGTTTCCTTCCCATTATTCAGGGCAAACTGATCCTAACTGGGGTTTAGTATTTTATTGGTCCAAGTACACTGTAGCTGAGTTCTTACAGAAGTGATCAAAGACTTGGGAGGATTGGCCCAACTTGGCAGTCAGAAATATAGCCTGCACAATGATGGCTCACACTGGATCAGTCCTTGAAACTAGTCACCAATGTTTCCCGTCCTCCATTCTAGTGACTGTACATGTGGTGGCATGAGTGACCTGCCTGAAGCAGAGCAGGACCGGTGCTGTGGGTCCTACTTCCATGCCTATGAGAAGTCACTCTTACCCACCCCTTGATTTCTGTTAGTGAGTGTCTGATATGGAGAGGCCAAAAGTTCCTGAAAGGCACTGAGAAACATCTGTATAGTCAATGATTACCTTATAGTAAAAGACAGATACTAAGAAAATAAAGACTAAAACACAAAAATCAGATGTAGGTGGGAAGAAGAGTTTGGCAAGTACTCATCCAGCTTCCTAAACCTTTGTTGAAAAGGATACGGATTGTCTCGGGAATGCTGGTATCCAAACAATCAATGATCTGCTGTAACTCCTCCTGCATTCCAGGGGTTTGGAACAGGTCCTCCTACCAAAGAGGTCTCAATGAATAGCACAAGGCAAGATAATCATCCCCAAAGTTCTGAAGACCACCCAGGGGTCAGGAGAGCAGCAGGAGGCAAAGGAAGAGTGGCATGTGCATTCATAATTAGGAATGGACATCCGACAATGGCTCCTTTGCCCTTTACCATCTGTATAATCCATGTGAAATTTTATTTCCCATCATAAAATTAACCTCAAAGGGCTTAACCTATACCTGATATGGTAGGAGACTAGGTGGCCATATCGGGATACCAGGTGTTCCCACTTCCAGGCTTTGACAAGTAGAAAGCAGAGTATAAACAGTAGAACCATAATCAAATACTAGTAGGGAATGCTAGGACGGGAGTGAATACCATGCCCATACCCAGCCTTGCTTTCAAGTTCTACTATTCTTCAGTAAGAAAACATTATCCTTCAATTTGGTCCCAAGAAATTTCTCCTTTGAGGGGAATGGGTTGAGAGTGGCTAGTATTTTTGATAGGATTTCAAAGATAAATGAGGCCCAAATTAAAGAAATGAGTTTGAAGTTTGCTTTGGACTTTAAAATCTGCAATGCCTACGAGGCAGCTAAAGTCAGCATTATAGACTCAGGTATGCAGCAGTCTGGGGGAGAGTGCATGTAGCCAGGAGACCAGCGTGCTCAGTTTGGGCCCAGTTCCCCCACTATGCTTATGCTGTGGTCTTAGGTAAATCACTTAATTTGCCTGCATAAGCTCTCACATCTGTAAATAGGGATACTTCTGTCTACCCAGGCAACCTGACAGTGCTGCTCTGTGGAGGTAAATTTCTGTGGGAAAGTTAAAAGCACTACACTGAGATGAGATATTATCATTTCCCACAGGACTAACACCCCTTCCAAAGTTGAAGGGCAGGCCCACTCTCACTTACCTGGTGACAGGCATATTTGAATAAGTGATCTACCAGAAGCCAGATCTCCTTGGGGACCTGAAGGGGTCTCTCACTGGTACCTTCATCCAAGGGAACCATCTGTAGAACAGATTTCTCCTAATAGATGAAAAAGGATGAGAACCAAAGGGGTCTTAATAACTGTGTGCAATTTAATCTCCTTCAAATTCTGCATATGTAAAAATTCATCATCTCTCAAGATTTTTCATTTTTTCTCACTGGGAATACCCCTGGTCAAAAGGCACTCGATACTGATTCCCACAATTAAACAATCTCCTTTTCTAGATGCTTCACTTAACTGCTGAGTATTCCATTGGGGTTTATGTATATCATCTGGAAGGGTTGTGTGTTGCAAATCCTTTCAAGAATGACACTGAGAAACAAGTGCTCCAGCAATATGGTCACGGTTGAGTACACACACCATCGGAGAGTGTCACAGTCATCAAGACAGTACTTTGAGAGAGCAGCATCTACTTAGGCTTCTGTGCACTTTTAATTCATACTTTTTTCCAGTCATACCACAAATATTACAGTTTTCATTGTTGATTTAAATGAGGGTTTCTGGTCCTCAGGAATTAAAGACAATTCTCCACAGTAGACCTACATACATGAGTATTTCAGGCTTGAAAGGTCTATTAAGGCACTAAAACTCATAAGCCTTAAGATCCACAGTCAACTGAACACAGCATACCAAGAGCAGAAACACTGTGAATGGCCTAGGGTCTGAGTCCAGAAGTTATTCTTTATATGAACAGCTCAGCATAGATTTCTTGGGGCTTTGGCTCCTTTCACCTATCTTTCTGCTGTCTGGTAGATTCTCCTGAAAGAATCTAAGAGAAAAATCCAGAGGTGACAAAAACTAAATCTGAACTTGAAAATGGTTAGGGAGTAAACTCAATTATCTTATGTTTATATAGCCAAATATAAAGTATATCATAAAGGTGTCTGAAATAGGTTAAAAGGCATCTGAAGGCAGCCTTCGGAAAAAGCCTAGTGGAGAAAATGGTGACTGTTTTTTTGTATCTTCTCCCCTCCTGTACCTCCAGCTTAAGGTCATATATTATGTATGTTCAACTTTGGGAAATTCTGTAAATTCCATCTACAACCCCTAGCCATGTTGCTTCAAGGTAAAGAAAAGGAGCATTTCACTACTTCCAGAGACCATGTCCACTGGAGCAGAGCCTGAGGGCTCTTCTTAACATTATATTCTTCAACAAGCACTGGTGACCTTTTAAAGCCACTATACCTTTCTAAGGGAACAGGGAAGAGAAGGGAGCATGACAGTTGGTTACCATTTAAAATTTATTTTCTTCACATTCATTTTGCTTCCTTTCTTCCTTTCCCTGGGATTCTATCACTTGACATTCATGTTTCCCATAGCTGCCAGAACTTCTATCAGTGGTTCCTCCCCTAACTTCCTTCCTATAGCAAATATTAAATCCAGGTATCTACACAATATCTGAGCCAAAACACTGTCCATAATGCAGTCTGCTCATATTCTGGACCAAATGTAACACACATATAGATTCTTTAGCAGACTGCCTCCAAACTTACCATATGTAAATTATTCAGTACTGATTCATGTACTTTATTAAAAAAATCTGACATCCAGTTTGGCGCTTTTCTGTACTAAGGCATTAAGGCGACACAAGGTACTGTCCAAAATGAAAAGCCAACATGGCCTCTTATTAACAGGGAAGGGCTGGAAGCAGAGCTGTCTCAAACCTTAGTGGTTTAAAAAGGTTAATAAAAGATCCGAAGATTATATACATCATCCACTATCAAATTCATGAAATGTCATACTTGTGTCTCTGAAGTCTAGAGAATGATCATGCACAAGAAATGGTATTTTTTAGTAAAATCACATATTATCCTGAACTCTAATTTTCAAAGGGAAATCAGACACACTTTGTCCTTGCTCAACAAGACACATTCAGTGCTTGCTAAGCACACACTTTGTAACCTTAGTACTAATAACTAAGGCACAAAACAGTATGCCAACCCCCCCATCAAAGTGCATTAAACTCTACTAAATGGGGAGGTCACATTAGATACTGTGTGAAAGTGCTTTAAGAATGATTTTCAAGCACATGTTTCTCTACTTGATAGCCCTCTGTGGAGCTCGGCACTCTCCAACTTGAAGATGGAAGTTGGCAGCGCACCACAGAGGTTTTCACTAGGCATTCAGCAGACCCAGGTTCTAGTCCCCTCTGCCACAAATCCAATGTCAGGAACTGCATGACTTTAGCAAGTTTCTCAAACCTTCCTGGGCCTTGGTTGTTCTGTCTATTACAATTGAGAAAACATTTTCCCTTGTGTGAAGGCAGAGAGCTGGACCAGATGATCCCTTATGATCTCGTGCAGATCTATAATTCTATTCTATGCTCTATTTCTTGACCATATCTGTGCATTTTGTCAATAATTAATCACTTATTACTAACCCCAAGTCATTCTTAATACAACAGAAACCCACTTCTAGTTTTACTACCATTGGAAATGGAGGACAGATAAGCATACTCTCCTCTACCTCATGAGCTGTCAGATACATCATGACAGCTCTTTAGTTACGTCTCATTTCAAAAATACAAATCTGGAACCTTGACTCCTATTGCTTTTATGCACTACATCTCAATGACTTGACCAGGGCAGTAAATGTACTTCCTGTACTTCAGACACACTTAAAAGTCAGCTGACAGGACTTTCAGGGATTCTCATGGAGTCAGAGGTCTCTGACTGTGGGAAAGCCTAGGGACCACAGTTAAGTGTTAATCAAGCCCAGAGAAACATGTAACCACCAATGGATTGCATTACCTTTTCTAGGAAGCTGTCTTCTTCCTGAGAGCAGAGCAGGAAAAGAAAGTCATTGACAGATAGAAAATGATTAGAATTAATTTACAGAATTAGTAACAGATCAGTATTATTAGAACTCACTAGTTTACTAGATACATACACTTTGAACAGCTTTGAATTCTTCAGATAAATGCTGAAAACGGAACACATTCTCACATGCAAAGTTCTCTATTATGCATATTAAATTTCTGTGCAGTTTACTGAGACAATCAGTGAGCAGACATGTGCCACCTGCCCCAACCAAATGCCTGCTGATGTTTCCTTCTCACATGCTGCTTGCAGCAGGCCCTGCCACCTCATGTGGCTGCTCACTTCATCCTGATGCCGCTTCAGTGGGAGAACTGGGGTCCGAGCACAACAGTGGCCACTCATAAGCTTCTCTCCTCTCCACTCCCATTCCTCTCATCCTAGTAGCCCCCTAACCAGTACCACACTCCTTTCTACCTCCCCATACCCACGCACCTCCTCAAAGGCCCCTAAAGTCCCCAGATATGGAGGTCCCTCTGAAATGTAAATTACTTTCATTTCAGCCCTTTGTGGACCAGAAGATCCATCATTATCCCCTATTGTGTTTTCCTATTAGGTATAAAAGGAAAAAGCAAAGCAGGGGAGAGGGAAGAAGGTACCTTTTAAAAATCATCTGTGTTTTGTGCTATTACTACAATCCAGTAAGAACAGCAATAGTAACTACCCTCATGTTTTAGGGAGCATCTGCCATGTAGTGGGAACTGTGTAAAGTACTCATATGCAATGTTATTTACTCTGCACACATGTGCAAAATAGGTATTATCACCATTTTACAGATGAGGAGAATAAAGCTCTGAGAGGTTAAGTTACTTGCACAAAGTCACACTACTAAGTAGTAAGTGGCAGAATCATGATTAGAACTCAGTTCTGATAGACTCCACAGTCATTACCACTATGCTCCCTTAGACAACTCAAAAAGGACCATCTGACCGTTTCCTGGACAGAGAGGCAGGGGCAAACTGTAAGAATGCATTTCACTCCATAAAGGGCTGAAGCCAATGAGAAACCCCACTTACAAGGCAGCATGGTTAGTGGAAAGAGTGACTCATGGGTGCAAACCTTTGCTCTGCCTCTTATTAATTTTGTACAGACCCCAGGCATGTTACTAAACTTTATAAATCCTCAGTTTCTTCACCTCTAAAACTGGGATAATAATATTTACCTTATAGGGACAGGGAAGCAGCCTAAAACCCAGGGGTGGTGGGACAGTGGTGGTACAGTATGCCAGCAGAAAGCCTGGATACCTCAAGGCTCCTCACACCATCTCAGCAACTGCAACTGGAATCCTCCTAATCCCACCATGGGCCACCAAGAACCTGAGTATAAATCACATGTCTCGGGGCTGAGAGTAAAAGGAGAAATCCCGGTCTACTATTAGAGATGTGCAGGAGGCTGGAGTGGGGGAGCATGGTTCCCTGATGTTCTAAGCAGTAACGTTGAATGCACTTCCCCCAAATGACTGTTTATATGGTGGTTAGGTTTTTTAGTATTACTAGATACATTATGAGTTAAGCATGCTCTTATAGTTATCTAGGTTCTTAAATACCACATATAAAATAAAATAAAAATAATGAGAATAATAATGCTTTATAAAGTATGCATTATTTATGGTATTGTGATTATAATACTTTTAAATGTAAAAGTTAATTCTGAGTGCCAAATGGCTGATAGAACACAATTTTGGAGCACAGCCTCTTAAAAATTTAGAACTACTTATAAATAGAGAATCTGCCTGTCTGACAGACTACTCCATTTTCCCTCCCATGAGTACATGCCACATGATATGATGAGTAAAACTAGGCAGTTTTTATATACTAACCTGTCAAACCAGGCCCTCAAAGATGTCCAGAGACTTCTCAGAACAGAGATGGGACTTAACTAGCTTTTAAAAGGATCACAGGATTTTCAAGGGTGGAGATGGGGTGAGGACATTACAAGTGGAAGGTACAGAAAAGGTAAATCATAGGTGTGATTAGGGAAAAGTCATTGGTTTGTGGGGAGCATGAGGGGATGTTGACAAAAACAGCAGGAAATAACTCTGAAAAGATGTGTTGAAGTCAGACTTTGCGGACCTTGAATGACAGAGCAATTTAGATTGTATTTAGCAGGTGTGGGGGAACCAATGACTACCTTTAAGCAAGGAAGTGACAGGCCCCAAAGCTACATTACAAAAAGATCCATCTGCCAGCTCTAGAGAGGAAGAATGGAAGGGTAGGGAGAGAGAGGCAAAGGGAATCATTAAAGGCTATCAAGGTAGGTCAAAGAGGAGAGAATAAACACCTTAACGAAGAATGGGAAAATAACATATTTTTAAAAAATGAATGGATACAAGAGAAAACTCTGAAAGAAGAAGTCAAAAGGATTTTAATAAGATACTGGTTGAGAGGCAGCAGATTTACACAGAAAGCTTATTTCTGACTACAGCCATGCTGTAGATATAAATTACATTTATTTCAACACTAGGCTCAGTTCTGAAAGCAGTAACACCACTTAGCCCCCACTGACAAAAAGCATACCCCTAAGGTAGTCCTGAGGTTGCTGCTAATCACTTAGTTCAACTGACCTGCCCAGTCTCTGCAAAAGGCTCCACGTGGATCACACTAAAAAGGGAACCTAATTCAGGTTAACACAGGCACACTATAAATACACTGCAAATCATTCTTCACCCCACATTCATCCTTAGAGGAATCTTTCCAGTAGAAAATACAGCTAGAATAATGTAAGAGTCATTCAGAGGCAGATTTAGGTTTTAAGAAAAAGAGCAGAAAACTAAATGGATACTGAAGTTCTAGAAAGGATTAGTTTGTGTGAAATACAGAGAAGAAACACAAACCATATGCCTAACTGGGTAAGAAATGAGTGCTTAGATCAGCAAGACAAAGTGAACACTTAGGGGAGAGATGACTAGGGATGAAATCCTCAAGTTGTTATTTCAAATGTTTGATACCATTTTCCTAATAGACATGTTCCCAAGCAAACATGTCCACCCATCCTTCAACTTTCTCATCTCTGTACCTGTTAGCAAAACCTTTAACCAGATCCGTTGAGTTCAAGCCTGGTCTCCTCTGCATTAATTTACCCTGCAAGCAACACAAGAATGTTTCTCCGAACACGTCAATTTACAACCTCACACTACTCTCATCCAATCTTTCTGATGGTTCTAGATGCCCTCTGGCTCTACTATAAACTCATTTGTTGACTTTGAAACTATCCACTGTCTGTACCATACGTAACCCACCTCACACACTCTTAAACTTAATCTTCATTCTTCCCAGGGATATCTCATGATTTTTCATACAAGATCTTTTTGCTTTCACCTTCTAACCTTTATGCTCACCCAGTATATTAATACATGTTCCCTAAATACTTGATGCCGCACTTACTTCTAGTTTTGTTAATGTTACGTGCATCAAATATTCATTAAAGTCAAAATGGGCTGGTTCTGAGATTGATTTTTACAGAGACAATAATATGTATTTATGTATTTATTTTATGGTGAGTAAACAGCACCAGAAAGGAATCTATTGTTAATACAAATTAGAAGCTCCATAACTCTCAATTTAAATGACTTTCCAAATACTGCTTTACCAAACCCACTGGACATTAGCTAGTAAAGGTAGTTAATGTTTAGATTATCTCTAACTAAACCCCTATGAATCTTGATTTAGAATTTAGCCATGTTATATACACAAGTCAACTTTTATCACCACTTAATTATAGGAACCCACATAAACTCCATAATACTTTGTAGCCAATGTCTGACGTATAAATATTGATGATTATATGCTACTTAATATGCTAGTTAATAAACCTATCTTAATTCTAGAAAAGAATAAAGATAATTACAAACAGATTCTCTTATGTTTGTCACTTGCGCTAACCCCAACTATTCCAGTAGTGGCAAAATCACTGTGAGAAGGGCAGGAGGAATGAAAAGGGCTTATGCCAGTTACCTCATTCTTCATTTAGTGGGAAGAGGGTATGACAGAAGAATCTTTCTGAAACAGTGCATAGAGAGTCAACACAGGCACTGAACTCATTTCTGGTTTCACCAAAAGCTTAGATTAAGTAATAAAATAGAGGACAACAGGGACCATTATTAACAGCATCATCTCATGGGATTTAAAGTATCACCTTGGGTCTTGGAACAAATATGAACACACAAACCTAAAAGAGCATTTCAGAAAATCAAGATCAAGTCAAAGGAGAGTGGGATGGTATTATGAATGGGGTATAGATAATCTTGCATTTCTTGTTTACTGCCCCACACTAATATGGATAATTTCCTCATCAATGAGATACAGGAATTTAATAACACTGAAATGCAACAGCCTGTGAAAAGAACCAGAAGCCTAAATCCTACAAAATAAAAGCTTTAAAAGAATAAATGATGACCACACACACACACACAATTTAATAAGAATGCAACAATTTTGTAAAGAAAAGAAAAAATGAATAGGGTTCTTTTTTAAAACGTTGAATCATTTGTGTCCAAAAAGTAGAAAATGGCTTCCTACAGAGCCATTAACTCCACCAATGATTTTGGCTAGTTCCCACTTATGGTCAAATGTGGTTGAATTAACTGATAATATTTTTTAAAAAACAAAACTTTTTTAATGCTGGTTGAGCCTCATTCCAGTCACTTCAATTAATACAGGAAAACTACAGTGAAGAGTACTATATAAGGGCTCTGCCAACTCTGACCAAAAAATAAAGCCAGGTCCCAGTTTATAGGAAGTAAGGTGGGAAGAGGGAGTATGAAAGGACAATTTTAAAAACCTATCAAGAGGGAACAATCAGACAAATATAGGAAATGGTAGATCCTTCACTGGGCAACTGTCTGGAGTCTTAGAAAATCAATGTCATTAAAGAAAAAAAGGGGAGAACTCTTCTACTCTAAGAGACTGCAAAGACCTCACCAAAGGTATTACATGAATCCAGACTGGATTTTGGCTTAAAGAAGCTATAAAAGAAATTATTGGGACACCTAGAGGAACCTAAATATGGACTGGCCATATTTCTTAGGTATAATAATTATACTGTACTTACACAGAAGTTGCCCTTTTTCTTAAAAGAGGCAGGCTAAAGTGTTTACTGGTGAAGTGACATATCACCACTTAATTTCAAATGGTAAAGCAAAAAACAGGTGTAGGTCTGTTTATGTCTGTAAGCCATGTGGGTGTTCATGGTACTGTTCTTTCAATTTTTCTGCACATTTGCCATTTTCATAATAAAAAGTTGGGAAAAACAAAACTAGGAAATAGTGTTTGGGATGGAGGGAAGGGGGGAGGAAAAAAAGGGAAACAACTTCATTTAGAATATATCCTAAAAGGTGAAACATGAAATTTGAAGAAAGGAATATGATGGTAGAAGAAAAAACAAGCACCATAAAAAATAACAGAATGTCAGGATATGAATTTCTGGGAAAATATGGTTCTCTCAAACAGATATATACTCAGTCATGAGGGCTCTAGGGAAACAAGTATAATTCCAAGAAAGAATGCTGGGACTGGACTCCAGTGTTTTAATCTGCCATCTGAGTCATAGCTGAAACAATTCCATGGCAACACAACAGATGACAATCAATCAAGCCAGCAGCCTGACAGCTGGTCTACCTCTCCCCACTATGCGATTCAATCCCTGCGTGGCTAGGCTGAAAGGACCGCCAGACAGACTGACAGTAATGATAATGTACAGTGGTCGTGTCACCAAATTTTCTTTGGTAAAAGACCAAGAATATTCTTTTATAGACCAAAGAGGTCTGCACACAAATCCAACAATACTTTCATGCAGAAGGTAAGTTCTTAATAGGATGAACTTGTTACTAAATCAATTTGTTACTGAAGCATTTCCTCCATAAAGACACTGATATAAGACATGGTGTCAGAGAAGGGAAATCTTACTCCTTTTCTTTCTTAAGAGAATCACATTCAACATGCATCTAACTTCAGTGCACATTATAACCATTGGGGATGCTGATACAATTGCAGATTCCTAGGTCCCCAACCCTGAGATTCTGATTCCATTGCCAGAGGTGAGCACGGGAAGGAACCTAATCTTGTCTAAGGACTCCTGGGGGTTCTGAGGCAGGTACTCTGAGATTGAGTTGGAGGCCTGGCTTCAACAAACAGCCAAGTTTAACTTGGATCAGGTATGAGGATATAGTGAGGAGTACTGGAGTGGCAGTCAGACAATCTGGTGATGGAGTAGTCACTAACTTACTCCACTGTGGGCAAGTTATTGTCTCTATGCCTCAGTTTCCTCATGTTTAATGAGGATAATACTGCCTCCCCCACTTACTGTACTTCACATACATGTTAATTTATAAAAAAGTGCCTTGAAAATATGAAGAGCATAACAATGAGCATTATATCTTTGAGATGGGAGCTTTAATCTAATTCAGTGAAGTTAGTATTATTAAAGTCCCAACAAGAGCCAATTACAGACTACCCTCTCCTGTTTCCTGTTAGGCTTAATCTAGTGAAAGCAGTGCTAGAGTAAAGTGACATTCTTACTCTTATTCATATCATTTGAGAGTCCCCCTTGCTGACAAAAGAAAAAACAGACATAATGGGGACATCACTTAAGTATTGCGAAAATTGTATCTAAAGGAGGCTCATGACATAGGATGTTTCTTACCAAGTCTATAAGCTTGGTAACAGGAACTTCTCGGATTGGTCTTTTCATTCTGCACAAAGCCTCTAAGGATGTACCAAAACAACTTGGGAGGTAATTTCCACTGATGGTCAAGAAGTAATCTTTGCCTCGATCCAAGTGAAGGACAAGAATATCTTCAATCTTATCCTCCCCTGAGTTCAGAATGGTCACAGAGTCTTTGTTGACATACACATCAAGGGAAATATCCACTGTCTCATCTGAAATGTAAGAGGTAACACATGGTAACAGAAACTTCCATTGGAAAAGCAAAAAGGAGATAAGAACCAACAGTAGAAGTGTCCTCTAAAAATATCATCAAATGAAGAAGAAATTGTACAGACAAAAAAGGTATTCCCAACATAATGACAGTGCAGGTAAGAGACGTGTGGTTAGAAAATAGGAAGTTAAACAAAGGGAGAGGATGGGAGTCAAGAGGAGATGTACGCTGCAGGCAGAGACAGTGGTAAAGGGAAACTCACTTGGCTCCAAGTAGCCCTCAAAAGGTTCAGCCCGAAGCCATGGCTTGCAGTACTGGGTGTCATTAAGTTTAGGGATGAAAGAAAAATGGCAGGGAACCTGTCCATTGTTGCTGATCTGGAACTTCTCCTTCTGTAGTTGCCGAAACTTCACATTCTCAAACACAAACTGGGGAATAACAGACAGACACAAACATGCATCACTAGTAGGGGAAGTAAGTCAGTTGGATTATTCCATCAAGAATATGAATGAAGAGTAAGGTCATTATTAATCAGGTGTGCAACTGCCATATGCATTCACCAACTGAGCGAGCTGTATACCCTCTCCTCTCACATATAATACTCATGCTGGAAGAGGAGGAATTAGGCAGCTCTTGCTACTTCTCAAGGCTATTCTGATTGTTCCTGGGATCCTAAGAGGATAACCCAACCTTGGGTCAGAATAATTAATCCTGTGACCAAGTCCTGGCTCCTGAGATAAGAATTAACCAACAACTGTGAATTATCAAATAAGAGCAGCTAATATCTGAGGGCTTACTCTGTACCAGGCAATTTTAAGAGCTTCGTGTGTATTAAGTCATGTAATCCTCATGACCACCCCTTTATGCAGAAAAGGTTAACCAATTAACTTTACCTTTACTCTGAGAGCGTAAGACACTCACCTGTGGTCATACATCTACTCAATGGCTGTGCTAGGATTGGAATGGAGGCAGTTTGCCTTCAGTACACACAGTCTTTACCACTTTGTTGTGTTGCCTTTTCTAAGGAGCATGGTTTCCCTTATGTTAACCACAGTGGGCAAGAGATGGGTAGGTGTGTATTTTTGCTCACCTCCCTCCTGCTGAGTTCTAAGGAAGGAAGGAAGTCATTTTCCATTCTGTCCATGATGCGTACAATATCTTCGAACACTTTCCTATACCTCCGTTCATCCACAACCTTCACCTGAAAGAAACAAACCCTATTTTCAGCCTTACATGCTCCTAGCTCATCTTCCTTTGAGATTACCTAACAATTTAAAACTGGTCATTACAGCAATCATGTAAAATAAACTGAGGTGCAAACAACACCCTCAAACACTTTCTGATATCTTGCTCCACCCACAACTTTCACTTCAAAGAAAACATATCCTTATGTTAGTCTTAGGTATTCTCAAATTTATATAACTCAAGAGTCTAACATTTTTTAAAAGGTCACTAAAGGAAAAACAAATTGAACTAAGCATTACAGAATCACATACTTTAATGTAAAAGTAAGGTTTATTGGTTAACTTCCTGGAAGTTGAACCTCCATGATAAGAAGCTTGGCAATAATAAATATTTGGGAAGAATACTTTCTTGTTCCATTGTTATTTCGTACTGGGGAAAAATGGGACAATTGTGGTAAAAAGTGATTTCCTGCATTGTACAAAATGACAGTGACAAAACAAACCTACTGTAGAAAAAACGATTAAAGCATTTAACTTTATTACTTGCTGTGCACAATGCCAAGAATCATAATATCAATGTTCAGATTATATAATGATAAAAGTAAGTTAGTAAATGGAACCTATAGCCATTTTAGAAAATAGCCAATACAAAATGTCCTAGAGTAAAAGCATGACAACAAATAAATCATCTTGACTAACAGATCAAAAACATCTCCCATCTGACATAGCACTTTCAGCTTCCTGATAGAGTTGTATGTTTTTACTATTAAAACTTTATATAAATCAATGCCAAAAATGAATGTAAATAACATAGCATTTTAAGTTATCGAGCTCCCAGTTTCTTTTTAGAATAGAAAACTTCACTAAGTTCAGTGTAAAAAAAAAGATGATTGATGTATGCAGTACAGGTTGTCAAGCAAATGGGGAAAACAAGAACATCAAGTTGAGGCAAATATCTCAAAGACTGGAAAGGTTTTTATATATCTAAACCATAAGGCTTAGAGAACTGAGGAACAAGCAATCACTAGTGTTACCAGGGTCCATACTATAGTGTTAGGTTCAAATTAATTTAATAATTTTTTAATACTTTTTCAATATTTTGCAACTTTTTATTTCAAAAATGGTTTTACATGTCATCTTATTTTCACAGCTATCTGTTAGGCTACCAAAGCAAGGATTCTTCTTCTTCTAATAGTTGAGAATATCAGGATACAAAAGCCCAAAGTTGCTTACTGCCACAGTTAATATCAGAGGTGATATCTGGGCCTCTAGTGTTAAGACCCTTTCCAAAATACCAGGCATGGAACAGGAGCAGTTCAAGTAGGTCTTAAAATCGCAGATGTCTCAACCTACTGATCACAATCTACAGATGTGGGTTCCATATACTGGCAATTTTTAAAGCTAACTAAGCAATTCTTACATCCACCAAAGTCTGACAGATCCCATTACCAAGTGCAGGGGTGGGAACTCCTATCTCAGCTTAATCTCGGCCAGCCCACACAGCAAGTCTTCTGAAACTAATTGGGCACTAAGCACTTGGTCCCTTTGTTAATAGTCACTGATGCCAAGTGTGGTAAAAAAATATAATGTGGTTTTGAAAGCCTCTAATCATAGCATATCCAAGAGTCCAAAAATGTGGTGTGGTTACTCAGTAAAATCAAAGCTTTTCTTAGTGGGTTATCATGATCACAGCCCTTAATGGCACATCAAGGATAATGAAGGGGAAGAACACCATAGAATGTTACCACCTGGTCCATCCATTTTAGAAATGAAAATTACCAACAAAATTGGGAATTAAGAATGAGCTAGAATTTTATGTAATAACATGGACAGCTCTCTAAGACACATCACTGACTTAAAAAAAAAAGCAAGCTGCAGAGGAACACATATAGCATGAGGCCATTTATGATATATATGCACCAATATACAAAACAGTACTATATTGTATATGGGTAAAAATAAAAGCACATGCAAAGGTTTAGAACTGTGTTGTCCAATATAATATCCAGTAGCTACACAGGGATATTCAAATTTAAATTATTACAAATTAAATTAAATTGAAAATTCAGCTCTCTCAGTCACACTAATTACACTTCAAGTGATCAATGGCTGCCTGCTGCTAGTAGCTACTGTACTGGGCAGGACAGACCTAGAACATTTCCATCACCACAGAGAGACCTACTAGATAGTGCTTGTCCAGAAAGATACAAATTCAAAAGGGCAGTTGACCTGGCTGGGGAGTTGGGGGTTTGGGGCAGAGATGGGAGTGGCGGATAGAACAGGGAGTGAAAAACTTCAGCCTTACCTGTAAATTTTGCTTACATTTTTTTTATTTTAAAGAGAAAGCACTTTTGAATTCCTATGTAATTTAACAAGTATTAAAAACTTCAAAGGTAGACCTTTATTAAAGAGACACAAAAGTACACAGGAAGCATGGGAAGTTTAAACACATTCTGCCAAGATGAGTATGTATGGAGTATTACAAATATTCTAAGGTTCTGAAAAGAAATACAATAAAAGCCAAGCTTAGCTGACTAAACCAAAAAGGTTAATGTTTAAGGAAAGACATAAAAATGGGTTAAGAGAACTCAAAGAAAATGGGGCAGCCCACAAGTACAAAGTAGGAAGCAGGTGGGCTGAAAGTAGTATCTGAAAGTATAGTTAGTCATTAAGTTCTTTGAAACTACAGAGGCATTATGGAAAAAGCATCTATAGGCTTGGGAATTGAACAGACTTAAGATTTGAATCTCTTCTCTCCTTCTACCTGAATGCTCTTAAAGAAGTTATTTAAATTCATTGGTTCTCCATTTACTCATCTGTTAACTGAGGATTACTTAACTCACAGCACTGTTGTAAGGAGTTAGAGAGAGACCTGTAAATTGCCTAGCACAGTCCATGACACTTACTAGCTGCTATTTGAGGAGCATTTATTATTATATTATTATTCTAAAATTTCTAAATAGACAAAAATTAAATCATGATTGCCTTGATAAAATTTAGAATCTAAGACCAAGAACTAACTGTGTACATAAGGGGAATGCCCCAAAGTCACTCTCTTTTAAGGAAGAAGTAGAATAAGACTGGTTGGTGATAACCTATCTCTGAAGCCCAACAAATCAACATATACAAAGAAGAAAGAAATCTACCCTACTATGCTTTCCTCATGTGTTACCTCATCAGTCCTCGTAAGTAGATACCACTGTCATCCCCATTTTATAGAGGACGAAACTGAGATACAGGGACATTACATAAATTTTCCATGGTTACAGTTAGAAAGTGCTGAGCTGGGATGCAAATCTAAGCAGTCTAGATATAAAGTCTATCCTATAAAGCACTGTGCTATATATATGTATATTCTTACAGATTATATGACCACAGGTCTGGAAAATCCACAAGAAATAATCTAAATGTACTAGCTATAATAAATTAAGTCAATGAGATCCCAAGATAAAATATGCACGCTGATTAACACACAGGAAATACAATGTGAAAACAAAACCATTACTCAGAACGGAGACAAAAAATTAAGTAACTGGCCATTAATCCAGCCAAGGATACAGTAGAGTTAGAAAAAAAATTTAAACCTGTGTTCTTGGACAGAAGATTTCACTATAGTAGGGCTAACCACATGCCTCTTTAGGTAATACACAGATTTGGTTGTATTCTAACCAGTCTATGCCTTTGTTCCTGCTGTCCCCATCCCTCTGCCAGGAACCTCTCACCCAGTGCTTCCCCTCCTTACTATCTGATGAAAGTTACTCATACTTTAAAACCTAGCTCCTAACTCTTTACGACTTTAGGAAGCTAAGGTTGCTGCTACCCAGCCATTATGCAGCATCAGAAACATCTGTGTCACTAAAAGGTCTGGAGTGTTAAGAGGCATATGCACATTAGGAGGGGTGAGGGCACTACTCAATGCTGCAAATGATTATTTGGTTATGAAAGCATTTATGACTTAGTGAATTACTGATCTGTTCTAAGTCTCAATAGTGCTCTGAAAATAGATATTTCATATAAAAACAAATGTTTACCCCAATATGGAAGAGGGCACTAACTGGTTTGTGGTCACTGGTTTTCAGTTCCATGTGACTCCGATAATGAAGCTGATTAATATTTGTTCCTCTCCAAAGAATCCGGTCACACCAAGCTGGAACCCGACATTTCCCACTACAAATAAAGAAGGAAATTATAAACAGAACATACCACACAAGAATGTAATACCTACCACACAGGTTGAGACCTGCATTAGGCTCTTGTTATATGCTTCCCCTTCCTTAGCAATCCAAGTATTATCTTCCCTACTATATTGCAAGCTCTGTGGGGGACTGTGTCTGCTTGTTTGCCACTGAATTCCCAGGTGCTAACACAGTATCTGGTGCAAAGTAGGTGAGCAATGAATAGTTCTTTAATGAGTGGATAAACAGTACTCCTAAGATTAGGATTATATCTTCAAGAACACTGCCCCAGGGGAAAATGTAATAGCACCTTCTTAAAATATCCTCAGAAGGCCAAGAACACTCCTTCCTTGCTCTGTGAGCTACAATGACATTTCACAAGAGATAGACAACTAATAAAATCTAAAAATACAATCCTATATTCCTAGGCTAGGCTTAATCTCTGGAGATGGGTAATAGTAGAGATTTCTCCTTTAAACATGGACTTTTATGGACAACCCTAGCTTCTTCTAACAGAGATGAACTAACAGCTAAGCATGCAAGTCTGAATGTGTAACAGCCCATAGAATACCAAGGGTAGGGGAAAAGCCTATTTATTTATTAAAATAAGCAACACCTTATAAACCTGATTCAGAAGGTGACACAAATAAGTTCTCATCAGTAGCATTTAAGTTGACTCTCAAGTCAGATGAGTGAAGAAATAAGGCAAAGTGTACAAGATCTGTCAGTGTCACTTTTCACTTGCTGACCAGCTCCCTCGGAGCACAAGGATACTGACTCGTCCCCACCCCACTCTAGTGCTCTCTGTTGTCAGAGTCTAAAGAAGCTAAATATGCCCATGGATTCTCTTTCGAGCTTCTGGACTCAGACAGCTAGGAAACCAGAGGAAACAAACAGATAGGAGGTAGAAGACAAAGTTACCAGGAAAATATTGACAGAGTCACTTTACTGGAGGTAATCAGAAAATCGAAAGGTCACCTAGACAGTGGTTCTCAGCTTTTTCTGGCAGTTGCAGAAGTTGGGCCCAGGCACTGGTACTGTTTAAAGCCCCTGAGAGGGAGGGAGGAGCCAAGATGGCAGTGTGAGTAAAGCAGCGGAAATCTCCTCCCAAAACCATATATATTTTTGAAAATACAACAAATACAACTATTCCTAAAAGAGAGACCAGAAGAAACAGTACAACAGCCAGCCTACATCTACACCTGCGAGAACCCAGTGCCTCATGAAGGGGGTAAGATACAAGCCGCGGCCTGGTGGGACCAGAGCGTGCCCCCCACCCCAGCTCCCCGGAGGGAGGAGAGGAGTCGGGAGCAGGGAGGGAGTGGGAGCCCAGGACTGCTAAATACCCAGCCCTAGTCATCCACACTGGGAGCACAGACACACAGTGCATGGTGCACTGGATACTAGAGAAACAGAACAGTAAAACCTGCGAGCGGGTTTCCACAGCCGGTGCCCCTGGGACAAAAGAAAAGTGAGTGCTTTTTGAAAGTCTTAAAGGGACAGGAGCCTCACAGCTGGACAGAAGTAACCCAGCACACTCAGCCCAGCAGCTGGGAATCCTGGGGAACTCCGGGTGCCCTAAGCCCCTGGGTGGCAGCGCAGCTCTGAGGCCCTTCACGGCTATAAAGAGCCCCCCGCCCATAACAGAGCAGCCCCGCCATAACAGAGCAGCAGCCTGAGACTGGCCACGCCCACGGCAGCCATGCAGAGCTTCCCCCGCAGCCACCCAGGCCAGACTCAGAGACCTCCTCAGCGTGCAGCTGCCCAGCACAAGCTGCTAGGGACTTGCAGGAGAGGAAGGCGATGAGCAAGTGGAAAGGGACTTTGCTCTCCCAGCTAACACACGCGCCAACTGCTAACGACTACCTCTATCGCCATGAAAAGGTAGAAGAATTTGATCCAGACCAGAATCACACAGACATCCCCTGAGAGGGAACCTGGGGAGATAGATTTAACTAACTAATTTTCCTGAAAAAGAATTCAAAATAAAGGTCATAACCATACTGACGGAGCTGCAGAGAAAAACACAAGAGCTAACAGATAAAGTTGGGAGGGAGAATACAGAAATAAAACAATCTCTGGAAGGATTTAAAAGCAGAATGGACGAGGTGCAAGAGGCCATTAATGGAATAGAAATCAGAGAACAGGAACACAGAGAAGCTGAGGCAGAGAGAGATAAAAGGATCTCCAGGAATGAAACAATATTAAGAGAACTGTGTGACCAATCCAAAAGGAACAATATCCACATTATAGGGGTACCAGAAGAAGAAGAGAGAGAAAAAGGGATAGAAAGTGTCTTTGAAGAAATAATTGCTGAAAACTTCCCCAAACTGGGAGAGGAAATAGCCTCTCAGACCACGGAAGCACACAGAACTCCCAACACAAGGGACCCAAGGAGGACAACACCAAGACACATAATAATTAAAATGGCAAAGATCAAGGATAAGGACAGAGTATTAAAGGCAGCCAGAGAGAGAGAAAAGGTCACCTACAAAGGAAAACCCATCAGGCTATCATCAGACTTCTCAGCAGAAACCTTACAGGCCAGAAGAGAATGGCACGATATATTTAATGCAATGAAACAGAAGGGCTTTGAACCAAGAATACTGTATCCAGCAGGATTATCATTTAAATATGAAGGAGGGATTAAACAATTCCCAGACAACCAAAAGTTGAGGGAATTTGCCTCCCACAAACCACCTCTACAGGGTATTTTAGAGGGACTGCTCTAGATGAAAACACTCCTAAGGCTAAATAGATGTCACCAGAGAAAATGAAATCACACCAAAGAAAGGAGACCAACCAAATACTAACAAAAAGCAAAAAATAAAATCAACTACCCACAAAAGCAGCCAAGGAAACACAAAAGAGCACAAAATAAAGCACCTAACATATAAAGAATGGAGCAGGAGGAATAAGAAGGGAGAGAAATAAAGAATCATCAGACTGTGTTTATAATAGCTCAATAAGCGAGTTAAGTTAGACGGTAATATAGTAAAGAAGCTAACCTTGAACCTTTGGTAACCCCGAATCTAAAGCCTGCAATGGCAATAAGTACATATCTTTCAATAATCACCCTAAATGTAAATGGACTGAATGCACCACTCAAAAGACACAGAGTACCCTTGTCTAGCTTGGATTGACACATAATCTACAGGCACACACCTGATCATCTACATTTGCTCTCTTACAACACTAAACTATGTTTTCTACCTTTATCTTACATCTACCTACCACTTCAGCATTTTATTAAAAATAAAAATAATAATAATAATAAAGGGAGAAATGTGGGATCCACATATAAATCAAGTATAAAAATCAAATGAATATTCATATTTGACCTGATTGTTTATAGTTCATAATGCATAATCAAAACCGAAAGTTTCTGTGATGACTGCCCTTGTACTGTTCACCATGTAAGAACTTATTCACTATGTAAGAATTTGTTCACCATGTAAGAACTTGTTCATTATGCTTCAGAAGATTGGAGACTGACGAGAATTAGGCTGGGGGTGGATTAATGATTGTGCATTGAGCATTGACTCACCTATACAGAATTTTATTGCTGTTAACAACCATTTGATGAATAAATATGAGAGATGCCCTCTCAAAAAAAAAAGAAAAAGACAGAGTAATAGAATGGATTAAAAAGCAAGACCCATTTATATGCTGCTTACAAGAGACTTACCACAAACCCGAAGACATGCACAGACTAAAAGTCAAGGGATGGAAAAAGATATTTCATGCAAACAATAGGGAGAAAAAAGCAGGTGTTGCAGTACTAGTATCAGACAAAATAGACTTCAAAACAAAGAAAGTAACAAGAGATAAAGAAGGATATTACATAATGATAAAAGGGTCAGTCCAACAAGAGGATATAACCATTATAAATATATATGCACCCAATACAGGAGCACCAGCATATGTGAAACAAATACTAACAGAACTAAAGGGGGAAATAGACTGCAATGCATTCATTTTAGGAGACTTCAACACACCACTCACTCGAAAGGACAGATCAACCAGACAGAAAATAAGTAAGGACACAGAGGCACTGAACAAACACACTAGAACAGATGGACCTAAGAGACATCTATAGAACTCTACACCCAAAAGCAGCAGGATACACACTCTTCTCAAGTGCACATGGAACATTCTCCAGAATAGACCACATACTAGGCCACAAAAAGAGCCTCAGTAAATTCAAAAAGACTGAAATTCTACCAACCAACTTCTCAGACCACAAAGGAATAAAGCCCAAGGGATTCTAACAAGTACTCAGGATTGAGAACCACTGTACTGGAAGAACCATTCACACCTTTGATTTTCACCTTTTGGTGTCCTGAGTTAAACAGTTGAGAAACAGTTTGGAAAAAACAATCAGAACACAGCAATAAAGAAATGGGGTGAGATCAGGAAGATAAAAATCTAAGCAAGTTGGCTGAGGAGACAGAAATAAGGCACTGCGAGCAGCCCACAACACTTCAATGGCCCTGACATAGACATAATACTTTCTTATGATATGCTCACTTTTGAGTACACGAATTAAAAACTCTTCTATAACAGCACTGAACCAGTAGGTTTTTATATCTGTTTCTGGCATGACCTAAAAAATTCCTAGACCTTCACCAATAAGGAGAGACAGAAATCAGATCAGGCCTGAACCTAGTCCACGAGGAGGTTCTTGTTACTTTACCTGGAATCCCATCGGTCTGTTTTAGAGTCATACTTATAAGTGGGGATAAACTTGATTTCCCCTTCGACGAAGTCAGCAAAAGCTTTTTTCTGTGTGCGCTGGATATTTAGCTAGAAAGAAGCATCACACAAGCAGGGTAACACCATCTTAATATAAATGATAATCAGGTTGATCAGCCATTTCTAAGTAGCTCTATAGCCTTTTGCAACTGTTAAAGTATATAAATAAAATTTCTGTGCCTTATAAATTAAATCTTGCCATTTCCATAGCATCTATACTCACCCACAGATAAGATGCTCACAATGAGCACGTCACTAATTTTTTATTGTTAATAGTGCATGGATAAAATGAAAAAAGAAATCTGAACAATTATAAGTTCCCTGAAGTTGGACAGGAACCATCTAGTACAATTTTAATTAACTAAAAAAACCCCCACGCACAAATGTTGAATGGATAATTTCAAAAGCCAAATTCAGTGGATAGTTAACAGTTCATTCTAAAGGTTATCCTCACTCAAGTATTTTACCAGAATTACATAAGACTCAGAATTCATTCCACTGTACCCTGTTTGGAGGAGAGACAGAGGGAAGAAATGCAAAGAAACTAGCCAGCCAACCTCAATGGAAGACACAGCCAAGAAAAGACAAAAAAACATTCTACTGCAAAACACTTGAATTTTGACTATATATGAAGGTCAAAAGGCTCACATAAGGATTTAAAGACATTCAAATCAAGTTGAAATGTTTTCTTCCCTTGATAAGAAGCATTTACTTTTAGCAGCCAGGATCCATAAGCTCAAGTGAAAATTCAAGTCATGTACAAGGTTCTGAGGCGAATTTGCAGAAACTAAGTTCCTGAATATCAAATTTTATATAAATGTTATCAAATCAATGCTTTTCCCACAGGTTTTAACATCTATAAACCAGCTAGCCCCTACTTCTCAATCAGGTCCCGTTAGACCACAGTCTGTGCTCTTATTCCAGATAAACTTCTCTACTGTGCTTCCCAATCTCCTCACAGGGCCTCCTCTTTTACCTCCAAGCTGTTGCTGAGCCTGCCAAGTAATCACGGAGCAGTTCTCACTGTCCCATCTGCCAAACCACATTAACATAGCTGAAGGCCCACTTCCTCCAGGAAGTGTTCTCCAATTAACCCCACCCATTCTCCAACTCATTTATACAAATCTCTGAAGCCTCTTCTTGATATTTGCTCTTTCTCACTAATGTTATCTCCTCCCCTCCCATGTAAGCACTTAAGAGCACTACAAAAACAAGACTCCACCAAAAAAATTCATAGATCCATTTTACATTTTTAGCATGCTTATTTTATTGTATTTTTTATTAAAGTATCATTGATACACAATCTTATGCTGGTTTCAAATACACAACACAGTGGTTTAACAGTTTACCCATATTATTAAATCCTCACCCTCACTAGTGTGGTTACTATCTGTCAGCGTAGATGTTACAGCATCACTGACTATATTCTCCACTAAAATGCTTATTTTAAATGCAATAGTGTAATGAAATAGTGTTCCTCCATCACAGCCTAAAATTTTATTGAAGTGGCTATTTTCTTGCTCTTTCAAACCAAATAAAATACCATCTTCATAAAAAAATTTTTTAAAAGCACTACGAAGTGTGTATTCACTGTATCACCAGGCACACTGCTTTCTCAAGATAATGAGACCTATTCCTAGAATAAGACACACCACCCACAAATCTTTCTCATAAACCTAACAATTCTATCAGCTAGGAAAGTACCTATAAAATGAAAATGTACTTACTTACCTGGTCAAATTTCAAGAGTCTCTGAAGGTCATTCTTGTTAATAAGAGTCTTCACTTCATTGGCATCAGGCATGCAAAGTCTATAGTTCAAATCTCCCAACCAGATGACAACACTGAGGATCAATAAATATATGGATATAAGTAGGAAAATTAGCATAAAAATCCATCAGAGTGCGTGATCAAAACCGAAAGTTTCTGTGATGACTGCCCTTGCACTGTTCACCATGTAAGAACTTATTCACTATGTAAGAACTTGTTCACCATGTAAAAACTTGTTCGTTATCCTTCAGAAGATTGGAGATTGTCGAGAATTAGGCTTGGGGTTGATTAATGATTGTGCACTGAATCCCCTATACAGAATTTTATTGTTGTTAAAAACCATATGATCAATAAATATGAGAGATGCCCTCTCAAAAAAAAATCCATCAGAGAAGAACAGAGAGAAGAAAAATAGGTAGATTATTGATAAGGATCCATTTATTACTATCTGACAAGGGGTTTAAGCTGTAACTAGCTTTTGGGGGCAAGAACTACCAACACCTGAGGGACTAAGGATTACAGAACAGGTGGGATGTTAGGCATTCTATGCATGAATAACAAAGAAGAAACACAGTGTATGTATGGGATTCAGAAGCCAAGGAGTTAACTGCCTGAGAGAAGCACGGCACGTGGTTTATCTGCTGGACTAGCTTCCAAATTTTGCCTGGCTGCTTGCCAGGTCTCTAGGGGAAGAGTCTGAATGTTTTCTGCCTCTCTGACCCCTGATGTTCTGCAGGCTCTATAGAGGTCTGCGTGGTCAGAATGACAGCTCTCCCAGGGCAGGGTCCGCTAGCAAAAGTAGGTCCACAGCTCTCTGCTGTAGCCAATCTGTCTACCTCTGCCCCAGGTCTGCAGTCCATGTCCCAGGCAGGAAGGAGACTGGTATGCCAGGGGGTCCTCAGGCTCCCATCACAGTAACAGGCCCCTAGATGTGCTGAAAGCCTCGCACAGAAGGCCCTGAAATTACCACGCCAAAATGGATTTGCCTATGAGCTATCTCAAGTCCCGAATGGGTCTCTTTGTCAGTCTTAAATGCAACATGAAATTTCTGGAATCCTAGGGGAATAAATTTAAGGAATTTCACGGCAACTTTATGACCACTCATAACAAGGCCTTGACTTTACTATACCATGGAGCAGAATTCCCTATGATCCTAATTGTTGACACAATATGGAAACAGGCCAATATTGCTACCCCTTCCTCCTCTTTCCTCAATTACCCTACTGTCTACTGATTCTAACACCCCTAAATTATCTTTTGTTTTCCTACTAATTCCAATCTCAAGCCATTTATTCCGAATCACATCCCTCTAAGAATTTCAATTACCAGTATTAATTTCTTAACAACTGATCATTTTCTACCACCCAATCCATCCCTCAACTGACTTCTGCTTCTATTTTTATTAAGTCCATTCTTCACTAACCTTTCTCTGATTATCTATCCTATTGATCCATTGGTGTATTTAAATCCCTACTGCCCCATTCTTAATGATTCACAACTACTAAAAAGAATAATGTGTGCGAATGTATATACATTGGCTTGGAAAGAGATCCACAATAAATAGGATAATATCGCCCTATACAATGAGTGTGTGTTTGTATGCATGTAAAGTCTTGAATAGCACTATTCACAAGAAACAATGCATGTCACAGATAGAATTTTAAATTTTCTAAGTAGCTGCATTTAAAAAGTAAAAAACAATGAAAATAACTTTAACACTAAATTTCATTTAACTCAATATATCCAAAGTATTATCATTTCAACATATGATCAACATATTAAAAAACTGAGATATCTTACATTTTTTCCCTAAGTCTCTGAAATCCAGTGTATGGTTTATGCCTACAGCACATCTCAAGTTGGACTAGCTAATTCCAAACGTCCAATAGCCCCTATGGCTACTGGCTGCCACACTGGACAGCACAGTTCTAGAAGGATACACACTGAACTAACTGTTAATGATGGTTTCCTTTGGAGGGAGGGGCTGACTAGGGAGAACAGAGGATAAGGAGGAATTTTTAGTTTTACTTTATCTTTTATTACATTTACAGGGAACATTTCTATTTGATAAAAAAATAAAAAATAAAAACTGCAACTGACAGACCCTTCCAGCATTACTCTTACATGCCCACTAATACAACTAACCTTTCCTCTGATAGCAAATCTAATTTCTCTCCCACAATGAATCTGCATTCCTCAAAAACTATTCTTTGTGATTCCAACCCCTACATGGTACTCCATCACTCTTCACTGTTCTATAGTTTCTTACCACGTTTAAGTTCTTCTCAGTCTCACTATTCAAAGGCTAAAGGAGACTTAACCACTCACTCATGTTTCATGATGTTCAGCTGCGGGAGGGTCTGATTTGGGACCACAAAACTCATTCGTGCACAGATGTCCTTATAATCTTGATTCCTTCTCTCAAAGTCCTCCACATGGGCAGCCAGGTGGGAATTAACAATGCAAAAGGTAGTGTTGTGAAATACAAATCTCACAGCTACCCCACCTTTGTTTCCCTGTTAGCAAGAGTGATTATTTACAGTTAGTGTAAAGATACAACTAGCAATTGAACTTCACACAGACATAAATAATCATCATGCTGATTTCCAAAGCAACTTACCATTTTCCCCATGATGCCAGTTCCAACTGTTTCTATGGCAATATCATGGATATATTGCCTCTGATCCTTTCTGGCAAATATCAGGAGCATCATCCCAACAAGGCGGACCAGCTGAACCTATGAGTTCCAAGGAGTTAGAAAAGGCTCACGTTAATAGTACTCTTTGCCACACAACTAACTTCCCACAACTAATTTTCCACCAAAAAGACATATGATACCTAAATTTGAATCCAAATGTTCACATTTCCCAGTGGACCCCATAAAGAGGAAACCAAATTTCTCTGGGGAACCTCTAATCTGGTTCTGACCAGTAGGAGTTCAAAGTCTTCAGGGACAATGGACATACTCAGTTCTAGATCCATTATTTTGTTCACTTTTTAGCCTATCAGGAGGAGGCAGCATGAAAAATTCAAATAATAAAAGATAAACCTTCTGTCCCAGCTTGTTTTTTTTTTGCCTCTCTTTCCTAGTTTCTGATTTCTAATTTGCTAAGAAATTAAAATGTATAAAATAGCAATCTTTTTACTTTGGTTCTTTTAAGTCTATGAACTAGAGCTAGAAATTTTCTGAAATGTATTATTCAGGGACATATATGAGAGGGATAATACCTCCCGGAGTTTCATTACCTATATCAGCTGTTAGAAAATGTAGACAAAAATTAGATGACTCCTTTTAAAGGGCTTAGAATGATAGCCCTTAATTAAAATAACTCTTCTGTTAGCCTCTACCATGCGTCTTCTAAAGACCAACAAATAGGCCTACCTTACTCAAGTCAACCCTCTTCTTGACTTACAACCAAGTTTAGAACTTATTTAAATTCTACAACACTTCTATTCTTGCTCTGATTCCAAAGCATACCCTATGCATCCACATGCTTCAAACCGCTTTTCTGTAAAACTCTAGTTGTGACCACGTCAGTGAGCAATTTCAATCTTAAACTCATATTGCACAAATTAGTTACCTTACATATGTAATTATTTTGAGTTAATTATTATTATGAGAACAATAAAATTCTTTCTCCTAAAAGGTACCTAATCAGAAAGCTCAGGGAAATTTGTTTTCTAGGAAATAGGTATAAAGGATTAATTTACCTTATTCCAGTATTATAAGTAAGGAAGAATTCAATTAAACCATTCTTTTGGAACAAGTTATAGATAACAGAGTAACTTCTAGTGAGTTTTATTCAGTTGTATACTAAAAAAAAATAATTAAATGTGGCTTACTTTCTTATACTTGGCTTTGGCATGCAAACTCTTCTCCACAGCCACAGACCACTCTTGTTCCTTCACAGATTCAAAGTAGAAAAATGCTTCTGTGCTCAAGTCCAGCTCTTGGAATCTGAGAGAACAAGAGGATGTGATATCTATAAATATCCCAAACTTATCTCTGATTGCCTCATGTCCATTTTCTGAGACATTAGGTGAAAAAATGGAATGGGAGAGAATTCCTTTTTTTTATAGAACTGCTCTGCTGACCAGTATCAGTAAGGACAAGTAGCTTTCTTTTCAAAAGATTCCCCATAAGAATATGCACAAACTGTGCAAAATATAAACCCAAAAAACTTCTACAAGGGATAACAGTAGAGCTTTGCTTATATATCCTAAGTATAGTCACTGTTAGAACTGACCTCAAGTCTCGGTTTCTATAAAGAATATAGTTTTCTATGGGTTTCAAGAGGACTAGATGCTCCCTTACACCATTTTTACATACTGTTCCCTTTTGATCTCACAGATCTGACCTGCAAGATAATACTCACATTATCTACAGTAGGTTTTTACCAAATAGTTTTTTTTAAAAGGAGTGCAAAATGTCATGTAAACTAACACCAAACATACAGCCAAAAGGAAGGAAATTCCAGATGTATTCCTTACCCAATGCAGTAGATATCAGGAGGATTTGAATCACAGTTCAGCCAAGGTTCTAACCCACTATCTGGAGACTGGCCATTCACGTTCCAAGTTCCAACAAAAAATCTAATACATAATACAAAAAAATAATTTGTAAACAAAGGTCAAGTATGAACACCAGTGGAAGTTCTCTCATCATTTCTCTACAACGCTGTGTTCACAGTAAGCCAACAAAATTTCTCAAAATATTTTGCTACACACATAAGAAAAACCTCTTACATGTAGAACACAAAGGCTGTGGGCTTATTCTAAATTTTACATTAGGTGAACTACAGGAAAGAACAAAGTCTTTATTTAAATAACACAAAGTTAATTGCTCTACCACATTTCCTTTCAATTAAACTCCATCCAAACTCATACTTGAAGAGAGGGCTTTTGAATGGTAAAGAGGTTATCTTTAGGCTGTAAGTACATGTAATAAGGATAAATGTTCCATAAGGAGCTGTCGTTGAATCCAAAACTCACTTTCTAAAGGATTACAAGGACATCTGTGTAGGAAATTCTGTTAAAGCATTAAAGGAGAAAGCAGAAGGGAAAATTCATGTCTGCCTTAACTGTTTACATACAAAAAATATGCATCATGGAGAATAGAAGGAAATGGAGGTTTTATATAGGGATATAGTTGTGATTGAATTAGAATAAATGAGGCATAATGGGACAGATGGGACTGGAATCTTGGACTCTAAGAGTACATAACAAAGAAAAGTGCTGCTGCTTTGCGCATTAGGATACATGCCATAATCATACCACACCACATGCCACACATATTGGGTCCAGAAAAGAAGACATCAACAAGTAAAGGTGATATGAAAACTATAATACAGAGGAAAGAATCCAAGACAGACCTCCCAATCAAGAGGATTTGGGTACAACTTTCTTTCGTTAACTTAAAAGTAAGTTCCATTAAGATCTAGTGGTAATGGTAGACTTCAGTTTTCCAATATTGGTGGGAAAAAATTCAGCCAGATAAACATACTTGCTTATGGAATGTACGAGGGGAGAATTCTCTAGTATGTGTGAGTTTGATTTGGTTCTCCAAGTGGATAGAACCATTAGTAGCTGTGGTATCATTAGTAGTTAGAAAATCCTAGGTAAATTGTAGCATTTGCATTACTTTGGATACACATGTTATTGACCAGCATAGAGCCGGAGGCTTAAATCAGCTGACCATTCTTTTTTATTATGCTTTGATTTTTAATTAAGCTAATTAAACTAATACCTTAAATATTGAAAGGCCATTTTCTGCTACACCTCAGTAAGCAGAAGAGAGACTAACCTGAAAGTCTGAATGTTGACATATTCTTTCTCTCGTTTTGCCAGGATATGTTTGATGAGACCCTCCCGCTGCCCAGACTGGGTATTTGGTACAAAGAGCTTCCGCATTGTGTTGGTCACTTTGGGCTGTTCCTTGTTAGAAGCTTCTTTGTCACGTGGAGGCCTGGCAAATAATGAGAAATTCAAAACAGAAACTGCCTAAAATAGAAAAGTCTTCTACGTGGGAAATATATTTTGACATAGGACTTACATTCTATTCACTGAAGGGGGTGGGGGTGGGGGTTCCCGATGACTCCCCATAGGCTGATTTTGTGAATTTATTTTCTTGTCCAAATTCATAGATGAAAAATTATCCTCAAATCCAAGAGGCCCTGAAGGACATAGAACCCAGAGTCAAAGGAGGAGAAAGATCAGATCCAACTTATCCAGGATACATAGGGCTTTGCTCAATGGTGTTACCAAACAGAAAGGTATCATAAGGATAGTGATAACTTAAGATTGGGGGGAAAAGCATGTCTGTCCTTGAATCACCTGACATATTAACCACAACAATAATAAGTTACATTAATTTGGAACCTGAATAATAATAGCTAACATTTATTGAAGACTTAGCACAATGCCTGGTTTATAGTAAGGGATTCTATCATTATCTCTCTTAATTGTCACAAAGACTTCATAAGGTCACTACTACTAAAATCTTCCCATGTTACAGAAAAAGAAATGGAAGCTCAGAATTGTTGAGTAACTTGACCAAGGTCATATAGCTAGTAAGTTGTAGACCTGGGGTTCAATCCCAAGCAGTGTGGCCCTGAAGCCTGCACTTTTTACCATACTGCTAAGCGGCTCCTGAAGAGCTAACATGCCACAGAAAAGATTAGGAGTGGACATTAATGAGTGGGCATGGACTCAATAAAATCACTCTATAAGAGAAGGTGTCTGATAATGACATTAATCCCACATTATCTTATCTGTCCAGATAAAATCTATTGACTGCAGTGATCATAGCAACTAGGGGAGAAAGAATCTTTTCTCAGTACCTGAAAAAACTGAAGGTTTGTCCTTAGTCTCTAATTTCTGGTACCAACTGGACGACTCCTTTTGCTCTGGAACAGTAAGTTGTGACTGAGCTGGAGAGAGAAGAGTCACTGTCAGAAACTGGGGAGCCCTTCATTGAGTGGGATTTATGATAACCAAATGCCATTCATTCAGCGCTCTTCAAATGCCAGCAGCATTCTTCAATGTAAAGGAAGAAACTGAGAAAATGAGGGCAGCTCTGGTATCATCTGGGGGCAGATGGAAGATTACAGTCTGCAGTAAGCTGTCCATGATATGACAATGAAGATTCTGGAAAAGGGCTCAGTGTCCTTAAAGCTAAATAGAGTTATTCCCTAATCTACTTCTAGGTTCATTCCTGAAGAAAAAAACTCAGCTATCCAGACTCAAGGGATGAGGTACTTTGCTAATGGCTGCTTGCCTCTGTATTAGCATGTCAGAGTTTTGCTTCCATTCAAATAGTAAAAAGAAAACTGCTGAGTCTTGAGTTACCTTCCTGAGCAGCAAGGACCTCTGAGAGGAACTTCAAACAGTGTTCTTCATCAGGGATTTCAAAGCGGCGCTCTCTGGTCCAGTCCCCCTGAACTCGAATTTTGCAGCCACCTAAAAAGAATTAAAACCCGTACACATACATCTACAGAACACAATGTTCTCTTGGAGTCATATTCTCAACTTGTCAGTTTAATAGAAGGTGTGGACCTCTAACGTAGGAAGCATTTCTACAGGATCAGGGGATTCAATGTGGTGATAGTGGTAGGGGGAACGCAGAGAAGGAATAGATTTCCCAAGTGGATGAACTGTGTCAATAAGCCACCCAATATAATGATGTGATACACAACTAAAATAGTTTCCTACGTTCTGCTAGATCTCTCAGATGTCAATTCAGGGACCTCCAAATTCTTGTAGAAGATCAATTCCCCAAACACCCTCCCTCCTATCTCCCAGATGGAAATTCCTACTATTTCAAATCCAGATCATATATTAAGAGTATCTGAAGCATGACAGATTAAAGGAAATAGGAAGGTTTGTTCCTAGGTACAGAGTCTACCTTTGCAATTGCATTTACAAATTAATTAAAAAAGAAAAGAATAGTGGGACTGGTTTGAATTATTCTGCAAAGAAGCATCTATACCTCATTACCTCATGTGAAAAAAGTATGCCTTGAGTAGACTTACAAAGGCAATATAATGACCTATGTCCAGGAGTGGTCTTGTTTCAGTACTGTCAATTGGAAAACAACATAATTAGCAGCTTATCTAGGACTTTAGTCTCCTATGTATATAACATACTGTCTCCCTTTTTCTGATGCCCTTCAGTTTCATCTGTATCAATTGTCTGGATATGGTGATCCAGGAAACTTATGAACTTGTTTATATGCTTATTTTAACTCATGTACTACATATAGTGCTTCCTCATGCCCATGGAAACTATAAGCTCCTTGAGAGCTTATAGGTTATTCAACTGCACATACAGGTTATTCAACACAACACATATGATGGTCTCCCGGCCTTGTCTGGGACTGAGGGGCTTCTCAGTGCTCTCAAAACTTTCAGGACTTTCAAAGCTAAGATCGGGGAAGTACCGGGCAAACTGGAATGGTCGCTTGCTTTACTGGTGACAATGAGGTCAGACTTCTTAGACAGAAGGCATTTAATAAATGACTGTCGAACTGGAGTCTTTCACATCTGTAAATAACAAAAAGATGAGAAAAGGAAATGGAAATCCTAGTTTCTTATGGTGGAAATCCACTTCTGGACCTTTAAATCTCTTTTTCTTCCTTTGTATTTCCTTAAGTTTCTATCTTCATAGATGAAGTGATCAGAAAAAGAAAAGAGATAAAAATAGAGAAAAAAATGAAAAAGAAGGCAACCTAATGAACCAGAGATAAGAAAATTAATGGGGGTGCCACTGTAAGGAGAAAAAGTGTGGGCATGAATAAAGGCTGTCAATTAAGAACAGCCTTGAAGATAGAAGACATAATCAAGTCCTTCCTTTCTCAGATAATTTATATTAAAAGTAGAAAAAAAATAAAAAGGACCAGTTTCTATCTGATATAAACTTAAAACAAGAATACATATCCTCTCTCCCAGAATCCTTGAAAAATATATTTTAGCAAATATAAGAAACCAACCCATTTAATGGGCAGAAAAATTCCAGAAAGTGCTTACAAAGTAACATTAGATGCTCTCTTACCATGTTGTGTGGGAAAAGACAAATGATCCCATGACCGAACCTTCTACTTTTCTCCCACCTCAAATCCTCTGGCCTCTTTGTGATCAGCAAACACTCCTAAAGCCTCAATTTTTCCTCTGAACATTCTCTGCATCTCTCGGTAGTTTTCTAGGGGTGCATTATAATTGCCAGGGACACTTAAAAAGTACTGACACTTTGGCCATACCCAAGGCCAATAAAACAGAATGTCTGGGGGTGAAACCCAAGTACTGGTAGTTTGCAAAATACTCCCCAAGTGATTCTAATGTGCATCCAGATTGAAAATCAGAGTCACCTGCAGATTGGCTGGTCCCTGAGAGTAGCACTTCCCCTGCAACCCTCTGAGTGGAGGCTGTTTATAGTCTCTAACACCCTTTCTAATTTAAGACTGGTGTCCTTATCTGTCCTAATGCCATTTCCAGATCATTCCCTATTCTCCTCTCTCAGGACAAACCTTTTCTTCTTTGAGGTTCACCTACTAGGCTGCTTCTTCCCTTCCTTTACCCATGAGATCATGAATCATCCTTCCAGAAACTTCTGAATACAGGATTCAATACCTGACTCATAACACCCTCTCCATTCAAACTCCTGCCTTAACTTTGGGTCCCTGCAAAATTAGCACAGAAAACCCACTCGACAACTTCAGCTTCATCCAATAACCTTGCCCCTTCCATCTGAGCCACTATCCCCCGCAGTCCCTCTTGAGACTCCCTCAGTTATAGCCTGAGCATTTCCATCACCTCATAAATCTCTAATTTGAATACCCCACTTTGACCTGTTACTCCTTTCAACTTACTTGCTTATATGGGAACCTCCAGCACATTGAGCCGTCCACTTTCTCAGCATCCATCTGCTCTCACCTGCTTTCACTTCCCTTTTTATCAAACTGATGCCATCATTATACTCTGTTGCAAAAGCCCAGAATTGCCTTCCACTCTGTTCTTCCATAGCATCTGCCTGGCTAACTTCCAACTCTGTGAAATCCGACTAACTGCCTTCTCTGTACTTATAAATCACAGCAACCAGAGGGAACAAGTATACACGCACACCAGAGGAAAGTAAACACACACAGTGCATACAGACCTATCATTATAAGTTGACTGCTAATCTCAACTGGGCCCTCTATGATAGGAAGCAATCTCGGTTTCCATAGTTAGCTAATCATCCACTACTATCTGAAACAACTATTTTACAACTTCTCATTTATCCTCAATTTGGATCCCCCCTCCTCAAACCCTCTCATTCCAAGCATATTGCTTCAACTTCATACTTCAGAGAAAATGGAAGCCATCACATGGAAACCTACCTGTAGTTGTATTCATCTTCTCCATTTCCTTCTGATACAAGGAAGAGGAGCCTTCCTATCAAAAACCACCTTCTCTTTGAATTACAACCCCTCTGATACTCTCAGGAGTCTTATACTCAGTCATTCCCTAGATGCCTTCCCCCAATAGCTTTAACCTCTCCTTTTCTTAGGCTCCTTCCCATCAGCATTACATTAAATTATGGTGTTCTACAAATAGTTCTAAAATTCATATAGAACCACAAAAGACCCCCAATAGCCAAAGCAATCCTGAGAAAGAAGAACAAAGCTGGGGTTATTAGGCTAATTTTAAGTTCTACTAAAAAGCCACAGTAATCAAAACAATTTCGTACTGGCAAAAGAACAGACCCAAAGATCAATGGAACAGAATAGAGAGCCCAGATATAAACACAAGCATATATGGTCAATTCGTATACAATAAAGGAGCCATGGATATACAATGGGGAAATGACAGCCTCTTCAGCATCTGGTGTTGGCAAAACTGGACAGCTACATGTAAGAGAATGAAACTGGATTATTGTCTAACCCCATACACAAAAGTAAACTCAAAATGGATCAAAGACCTGAATGTAAGTTTTGAAACCATAAAACACTTAAAAGAAAGCATAGGCAAAAATCTCTTGAATTTAAACATGAGCAACTTTTTCTTGAATGCATCTCCTTGGGCAAGGGAAACAAAAGCAAAAATTAGCAAATGGGACTACATCAAAGTAAAAAGCTTCTGTACAGCAAAGCACACCATAAGCAGAAGAAAAAGGCATCCTACAGTATGGGAGAATATATTTGTAAACGACTCATCCAACAAAGGGTTGAGATCCAAAATAATATATAAAGAACTCACAGGCCTCAACACCCAAAAAGCAAATAACCCGATTAAAAAATGCACAGAGGATATGAACAGACAATTCTCCAAAGAAGAAATTCAGATGGCCAACAGGAACATGAAAAGACGCTCCACATTGTTAATCATTAAATAAATGCAAATTAAAACCACAATGAGATAACACCTCATACCAGTTAGGATGGCCAATATCCAAAAGACAAACAACAACAAATGTTGGTGAGGATGTGGAGAAAGGGGAACCCTCCTATACTGCTGGTGGGAATGTAAATTAGTTCAACCATGTGGAAAGCAGTATGGAGGTTCCTCAGAAAACTAAAAGTAGAAATACCATTTGACCCAGGAATTCCACTTCTAGGAATTTACCCTAAGAATACAGCAGCCCAATTTGAAAAAGACATATGCACCCCAATGTTTATCACATCACAATTTACAATAGCCAAGAAATGGAAGCAATGTAAGTGTCCATCAGTAGATGAATGGATAAAGAAGATGTGGTACCAATACACAATGTAATATTATTCAGCCATACAAAGAAAGAAATCCTACCATTTGCAACAACATGGATGGAGCTAGAGGGTATTATGCTCAGTGAAATAAGCCAGGCAGAGAAAGACAAGTACCAAATGATTTCACTCATCTGTGGAGTATAAGAACAAAGAAAAAACTGAAGGAACAAGACAGCAGCAGAAACACAGAACCCAGTTACCAAAGGGAAAGGGATTGGGGAGGATGGGTGGGAAGGGAGGGATTAGGCAGGGGAAAAAGAAAGGGGGCATTACGATTAGCATGTATAATGTGGGGGGGCACAGGGAGGGCCGTGGAACACAGAGAAGACAAGTAGTGATTCTACTGCATCTTACTACGCTGATGGACAGTGACTATGATGGGGTTTGTGGGGGGGACTTGGTGATGGTGGGAGTCTAATAAACATAATATTCTTCATGTAACTGTAGATTAATGATACCAAAAAAAAAACTCTTTGTATTTTTCCTTGACAGAAATTTATTAAAATTTCAATTATGTAATTATCTATATCTTATGTGATAAAGTCTGTTTTCTGCATTAATTTTCATGAAGTAACATGACTATACTGCTTTCTGCTATATATCCCTAGAGACTAGCTAGCACAGTGCCTGTCCTATAAAAGACATTCATGTATTTTTAGACTGAATTAATGGATTGTAGGCATCTATGTCACACTAGTACCAAACAGCACAGAAGCAAGAAAAAAAGCAGGAGAAGCAGTGATTGAGCCTGCATTACACAGAACAGTGCCTGGTAAATATAAGACACTCAACAAATATTTGTTGAATAATGAATAAATAAGGGAGGGTTTAATATTAGGAAATTAGTATAATACAGTCCATCAATAGATCAAATAAGGAACAACAATATAACCATCTCTATAAATAGTATAAAGACATTTGATAAAATTCAACATACAGTCATGATTTTAAAAACCACACAAACTTGAAATAAATGTAATTTCTTAATACAGTTCTTTAAAAATCCTTGTCAAATCAATAAAGATATCCTCAACAATAAAGCACTTGAGTCATTCTCACTGAAATCAGGAGCTAAGCAAGGATTATCATTATTTGACATTGGTCTCAAAATTCTTGTTGATGTAATGAGATGTGAAGCAAAACTAATAGTTATAGCTATTAGAAAGAAGACAAAGTTATTTGCATATGACTAGGGCTGTCTATTAAAACCAAAAAACAAAAGGAACAGCCAAAAACACTAAAAATAAATTTCTGTGAAGTGGCTAGATAAAAGATAAATATCTAAAATGCAATAGCTACTCCATATACTTGTAATGAGCAATCAGAAGAGAAAAAAGGTTCCACAGACAACAGCAGCAAACAAAAATAATCCCCCATAAAATACTTTATGATATATATGAAGAAACTACAAAATGTTACTGAGAGAAGGACCTGAATAAGTAAAGATATACCACGTTCCTGACAGTGACTTAATCTTATAAAGGAGTTAAATGATTTAACAAAATTGGGCACACACCTATGGTGAAATATTATTAAATATCACATTTTTAAATACTTTTAAATGACAAAGAAAAGGTCACAATATAATGTTAAATGAAAAATGCAAGATAAAAATGAGGATTCCACTTACGTAAAAACAAATAAAAGCCTGGAAGGAGATATATAAAAATATTTCCTACAGTGGTGATCTCTTGATTGCAGGAGCATAATTTTAATTTGATACTTTAAACTTTTCTAAATTTTTCAAATTGTATATAATGAAGATATGATTACCCCTATAATTAGAAAAAAATTAAGAACATTTAAAATCAACATTCATGCAATGGGAAAATCAGTATTTACATTAAAATCAGGCCTGCCTAACAAACCCAGGGTCTTCATCCTGCAACATACTGTGCTCTAAGGATTTGTGTATGAAGCCCAAGGATCAAGACAAAATCTAATTTCAGTGCAAATACTACTGACTGAGCAGAAATAACAAAGGGTTTTATTTAACTGGTTACTGAACTATTTCCCCCCTCTACAATCCACCTTACCTCTGGAAAGAGCAACGCATGGCTAATTTCTATGCAGGAGAGGCAAAAAAAACTACTGCCATAAATTAGGTGTTTATAAGAGAAAAGGCACAGCTCAGTTCTACTTTTCAGCTTTGGATCAAACACCTATTTCCACAGCTAGAAGGGGACATGTCAGTATCTTATTTCAGCAACAATGTCAGTTGCTGCTGACTGCCTTTGCTCAAATTTTGCTTTTTTAGTGTTATTTTTGCTTTCTCCTTTCTAAGCACAATAAGACATAAATACTGAGTTATTTGCTGTCTTGGATACTTGCACTAGAAGCCAGCAGCTGGGTTTACTTAGCCTTTCATGATCAGCACTTAAAGATTCCAAAACCCATGACCAACGAAAAGAATATGACCCCAACCAGTAAAAAAGTCTACCTAAACTGTTCAGTACAAATTAACAGTGGCAAGGACAAGGACTGTGCCTAAACAAAATTATGTGTAACCCATAGCCCCAAGCTAAGGGCCACGCCCCACTCATTGAAAGACTCAACCAAGAGATAAGGCAACCCTTTGGGTTTGATTTACATTCATGTGGTCCCATACTCTCTTCCATAGCAACCACAGGGTAGTCACGGTAGCATTCAAGTGCTTGTTCTCTCCTCCCCATTACACAGTTCAATCAGATGATAGAGAACAGCTTGCACAGTAAGTCAGTGACAATTTGCTTCACAGATAAAAATGAGAACAGAAACATTAAGAAGACCGTGTTCTCCCTGATAAAAGGATGCCTTGAAGAGATGAGACTAAAAGATCAAAATTATCTTAAGAAACAAAAGGAATGCCTGGGACCAGCAAGGTATCCCAGGTACAAGAGGGACTCTGTAGCCTCCCAAAATAACACAACAAATAAAGGAAAACATTATGATTGAACATGCAAAAATAAAAAGCCATGAGAAAAAAATAGCTTAAAACATAATAGCAGTTAAAAAAACAAACATAAAAACACTCTTAAACCTTATGTGTGCTAAACATTTTATGGCCCTTCCTACAATTTTCAACTCCACAGAAATGATTTAACTGATAGCAACAATACTGGTAGCCTAAAGAAATTCAGCGTTAGAAAAGCAGATCATATTTTCAATTTTTAAAGATTCTTGCCAGCCACCTGCTTTTTCTTATGCTTAGCCTAAATTTTGTTGGGAGAAGATGCTAATTTGTGTGGCTGTCTTAAGAAACTGGAGAGTACAGGATGAGGTGGTAAGATAAAAGATTGCCAAAAAGGTGTCTTAAATATAGTGGGTATCTGAGTAAGTATCTGTTTAATGAACATCAGCTCCATTCAGAAAGATACTCACTGTTTGAAGCTATATCAATCAAAAGAGTTTCTTCTGCTTCTGAGGGAAAAGAAGAAAGAATAGGATTAGGAAAGAGAAAAATATTCATTACAGCCAAAAAAAGTATATGCATAACTAAAGAACTGCTTCTCTCAATGACCACTCCTCAGTCTCAGAACACATTAAAAATCCTTTGCTTTTTTTGTTCAGCATTTTTTTAAAAGGATTTTAATAGCACTAGGTTCTAAAGATTTTGAGCCATTGAACCAGAAGAAAAATGAACTGAACAAGTAGCCAAATGGAATGCCTCAAAGCAAATGAAGGAACAACAGCAACAGGGAATATAAGAATGTTAATTCAAGGGAAGGTGAGTTTAATACCTCTCAATTGTACCAGGCTGATTTAATATAATCTAACCATGTCATTTAGATAATTCTTATAAAAAGCCAAGGAAATGAACCCAAAGGCCTAGAGTCAAATTACTTTAACTCAAATATAGTCTCTTAAAATTTCCCAGTGAGCTCATTACCTTTGCCCCTGCCCCCCCATAAGAGCAGAGAATACTTGAAGTTCTTTACCTTCAGGCTACCATACCTGTGGTTCCAAGGTCTACCACACCCAATAATTAAGTATAAAACAGGGCAAAGCATAGTTTCAGAGTTCAGAGTTCTCTTTTTTCCCAGTGGCTCTCCTGGACTTGCTTTCTTACTTCTAATGTCTAGACCCAACCCATCTCTTTCTCTCTGACCTCCCTGGATTTGGCCACCAGCACTCTGCCAGAAACTCCTGGCTTGCCAAACCCTGGGTACTAATTCCCTGGGACTAGCCTGGATCTACCTTGACCAGATGTAGTAGTCTCAGCCTTTTCGAGCTCCCTCACAAGCCTGGATTGTGTATTTGGCTCTACTATTCAGGTACAACAGAAGAAACTGGTAAGGGACTACGTTGTCTAATATTAGAAAATAGCCTCCATACTCCAATGAAGTTAAAGGGCAACAGGGTATCAGGACACAGGTATTATGTGTTCACCATTGTTCTTCAGTAACTTTAATTCTTTAAAGCCTGAGTAGTTACAGACTTTTCAAAATAGATACACAGGTCGGGAAACAGAATGGATGTGAAAACTCGAGGAGGTAACTTCCTTTGTCATGGGGAACTACCTGTGTGCACACACACATTTTCCTAGATTCCAATCTAACAAGCTGTCTCATTTCCTACTAAAAACAATACTAAGTAAGAGGAACAGGGTAAAGGAGACTCTAGAAGGTAGTACAAAAGGGTACAGAGCCAACAGTACACTTATCCAAAGTCATGTTCTTTGGCTTTTCTCCCCCTTAAAGGGGGCTGGTTGTGTAACAAAGGGTGCCATACCATGAAAAGGGAGGTGACCACAGCAACTTACTACAGCATGCAGGTGCCTTGTTTAATACGGCTCTCTCACACAGGGCAGGCTAAAGGGCTATGATGTCATTCCTCTATACAATGTGGATACTAGTCACTAAGGGTATTTCTAATTCTCAATATGTGCTGTCTTAAAAAGTCATACCCATTTAGTATTTCTTACAGGAATACACCCTAAGGAAATAACAGATGTGCAGGAAGATATATGTGCAGAGATGTTCATCACATTACTATTTACACTAGCAAAAAATAACACAAATATCAAACATGGGGGAATAATTACATTATGGGCCAATCATAAAATGGAACAGTATACAGATACTGATAGCATGGAAAAGCACTAATAATGTGATGGCATGGAGAGCAGACAAACAACTGCATATAGTAAGAGTCCCACCCACCCTAAAAGTTACATTTATAGAAAAAAGGAAAATGTTAGGTGTTTATCTATGAAGGATGGAAATTTGCTTATTTTCTTTATACTTTGCTGTTCTTTCCAAACTTTTTACAGTGTATATATTACTTTTGTGATCAAAAAAGTTCACTGTAGGGGAGGAGCCAAGATGGTGGTGTGAGTAGGACAGCGGAAATCTCCTCCCAAAAACATATATAGTTTTTAAAATACAACAAATACAACTATTCCTAAAAGAGAGACTAGAAGATACAGGACAACAGCCAGGCTACATCTACATCTGTGAGAACTGAGCCCCTCGAGAAGGGGGTAAAATACAAGCCGTGACCCAGCGGGACCGAAGCAACACCCCCACCCCAGCTCCCCGGAAGGAGGAGAGGAGTCAGAGCAGAGAGGTAGAGGGAGCCTAGGACTGCTAAATACCCAGCCCTAGCCATCCACACTGGGAGAACAGACACACAGTGCGTGGTGTGCTGGATACTAGGGAAACAGAACAGTAAAATCTGCGAGCGGGTCCCGGTAGCCGGCGGCCTGGGACAAAAGAAAAGCAAGTGCCTTTTGAAAGTCTTAAAGGGACAGGGGCCTCACACCTGGATAGAAGCATCCCAGCACACTCAGCCCAGCAGGTGGGAATCCTGGGGAACTCTGGGCGCCATAACCCCCTGGGAGGCAGCGCAGCTCTGAGGCCCCTCATGGTGATAAACAGCCTCCCGTAAGTTTCCCCTCTGGCACAGCCCTGCCATAGCAGAGAAGCAGCCTGAGACCGGCCATGCCCACAGCAACTGCGGAGCTTACTCCACAGCGGCTGGGCAAGAACCAGAGACCCACTTTGTGCCCAACTGCCCAGCACAAGCCGCTAGGGGTCGCCGTTCTTCAAGGAGAGGAATGCGAGGAGCAAGCAGGAAGGGATTTTGTTCTCCCAGCTGACACATGCACCATCTGCCCATCGCCATGAAAAGGCTGAACAATTTGTTTCAGACCGGAATCACACTGACATCCTCCCCTGAGAGGGAACCTGGGGAGACAGACCTAACCAATCTTCCTGAAAAAGAATTCAAAATAAAGGTCATAACCATGCTGATGGACATACAGAGAAATATTCAAGAGCTAAGGAGGGAGAATACAGAAATAAAACAATCTCTGGAAGGACTTAAAAGCAGAATGGATGAGATGCAAGAGGCCATTGATGGAATACAAATCAGAGAACAGGAACGCAGAGAAGCTGACACAGAGAGAGAAAAAAGGATCTCCAGGAAAGAAAGAATATTAAGAGAACTATGTGACCAATCGAAATGGAACAATATCTGCATTATAGGGATACCAGAAGGAGAGAGAAAAAGGGAAAGTGTCTTTGAAGAAGTAATTGCTGAAAACTTCCCCAAACTGGGGGAGGAAATAGCCTCTCAGACCACAGAGGCACACAGAACTCCAAACACAAGGGACACAAGGAGGACAACACCAAGACACATAATAATTAAAATGGCAAAGATCAAGGACAAGAACAGAGTATTAAAGGCAGCCAGAGAGAGAAAAAAGGTCACCTACAAAGGAAAACCCATCAGGTTATCATCAGACTTCTCAGCAGACACCTTACAGGCCAGAAGAGAAGGGCATGATATATTTAATGCAATGAAACAGAACAGCCTTGAACCAAGGATACTGTATCCAGCATGATCATCACTTAAATATGAAGGAGGGATTAAACAATTCCCAGACAAGCAAAAGTTGAAGGAATTTGCCTCCCACAAACCACCTCTACAGGGTACTTTAGAGGGACTGCTCTAGATGGAAGCACTCCTAAAGCTAAACAGATGTCACCAGAGAAAATAAAATCACAGCAAAGAAAGCGGAACAATCAAATACTAACTAAAGGCAAAAAATAAAATCAACTAC